CCTAATTAACCATAAAGGTGGCTCTCGGTCCGTTCAAATGCATTTTCAAAATCGGCACGGCCCGGTGAACAAACTTAGGATCGCGGTCCAAGTCTTGTTTTTAAGCCTGCTCAATAGCCACCTCTAACCATGTCATACCTACACCTACCTCTGTCCTACAAAAAGCCTCTATGTTAGCCCTATCTTAGCCTTATTCTAGTTGCTACTCGAACCTGATCCAACCTTCTCCTAGCTGCGTTTTAGCTTAAAAAATAGCCTTACTCTAGCCTTATCCTACCCTACCTTGCCCTTTCCTTGCTAGGCGTATCTAAGTTCTCCAAAAAATTTTTAAAAAATCCGCAAAAACTTGAAAAATCAAAAAAAAATTAAAAATCAACAAGAACATAAATAATAAATTTATAATTTTTAAGTCCGCAAATCAATGACATTCGGATTGTTTTTCACAAAATTTGTTTGATATTACAGCATTCTGCAAAAAGTTGGAAAATGATAAGTTTCGGAAAAGAAAAAAAAATGAATTTAAAGCACAAAATTCAATTTTAAAACGGATAAAGTTTGATTGGCCCATCTACAAGTTTATGGACTTTAAAACAGATACTTTTTGTTCGATTTCGGAAGGATATTATGATGAAAGGAATACACGGAAACTTCCTGCGGGTTGAAGAAAGTGGTCTGTAATATCAAAAAAGTAAACTTTTTTGTACAACAAGATACTGTAATTGCGCAGGGTAATAAATTTAAAATAAAGAAAGTTAAAAAATTTAAAAAAAACCTTTTCTTGGCCTGCATTGCCCTTCCCCACACTGCTTTTGCCTTATTTACCCTACCTTTTCCATGCTTTTGCATTGCTTTTAGCCTGCCTTCTAGCCCTGTTTCACCCTACCCTACCTTACCCTACAATATCTTACATCTTCCCCTTTTAAAAAAAAATTAAATAAAAAAAATTTTTTTGTAATTTAAAATTTGAAACCTTACAGTAATTTAAATTCAAATTACAATTGCTTGTCGTCTCAATTAAACCCCTCCCCATAGCAAGCCATTAAACACACTGACCTATTATTTATGCAAGCCCATCAAAATGCTAATCAATGTTTCAGGTCGCGCTTAGTGGGTTATTAACAATATTTTACAAATTGATTTTTATAAAACGATCCTGCCTTGCCTTGCCTTCCTTGCCTTACCTTGCCTTGAATTGCCTTGCCTTTCCTACTATATATCCATTATGAAATTAAGAAAATATTATTAATGACCTATGAGTTATGGCCAACCCAATAAGTCCTAAAAGTCATAGCCCAGGATGTGTACGATAACATCGCTTCCTATCGAAAGCCATTTGTCACGCACTTAACAAGGTCTTTAAAATTATGCAATCGCCCGAATATAACAATAAACATAACAAGTCAAAACATGCAACAACACCCAAATACATGATCAGATTTGGTATCTGATTAAGAGTTATAAGTCAGGCTTGTGACAGGGGTTCTGGATTAATTAATCCAGAACCCCTGTTATATTAACATGGCATTTTTGTACGTTTTTTATGTAAATAAAACTGTTACTAAATAAAAAATTTTTTTAAATATAAATCCAAAAAATAATAAAAATTTAGTACAAAATGACGAGAAATCGATTCGTGGCTTTGATATTCGATTGCCAACGGTTAGTTTCTAACCAATTTGGAATCAGATAAAGATTGGTTATTAAACACAGCTTTCGAAAAAGCAGTTTTTGTATTAAAACCAACATTATATTTGGTCGTATCATCTGTTACAAGACATAAAACACTTTGACATAAAAGAATAGTAAAGTTGTAAGTTAAGCTCTAGTCCTAAGCCTAATCTTAGCTTTCTCTACTTTGTCCCTATATATCTAAGGCATGGCAAAACAGAACAGAGTAGGGCAGGTTATGGTAGGGCGAGAAAAAAGCAAGCAAAGGCAGGACAAAGACAGGGCAAAGGCAGGGCAAAGGCAGAGCAAATCATCAAAATTAAGGCGCAGTTAATAGTCAAATAACAGCTAAAAAATCAAAAAAATTACTCTATACGTCCTGTAGAGATCACCAATGCAGTACGTCTTAAAATAAGTATCCTACCTTCTATCAAAACCCCCTATCCTGCCTTCCCTCTTAGTAAAACGTTAACCCTACTCTATCATACCTTGGCCACTTATTGTCTCCTCCCCAAGAAAACCCCACTGATCAGACAAATTAGTCAACAACCAAAATTAAAACCCGTTTTAAGTGTCGTCCCCGCCAGCTGAAAAAACTAGTGACAGGGTTTTGTAGAAGATTTTGTGAAAAGTTTTTAAAAGCGCGTCCTTTTTTGAAAATGCCTTGGACCGGAAACTTGGCCCAATCGATTCCCAGGGCCTGAAAGTTGATGAGAAAAGTGATAAACAGCTCCTCCCCTGCCAGTGTCTTCGCGTTTTAATTAAAATAATCGAATTCTGGAATCTGAGATTTTGTAGGTAAAGACGTCAATCTGTATGTGATTTATCTTAATTTATGGAAAATAAATTATTAGGTTAACATTGATTTTGAAGAAGAATATTAATTGAATTCTAATCCAAAAATATACCAAAAAATTGCATTGCCATGCCCTGCCTTTGCCCTGCCTTTGATCTGCCTTTGTCCTGCCGTTGCCCTGCCTTTGCCCTACCTTTGCTTTGTCTTTTCCCTGCCTTTGCCCTGCCTTTAACCTGCCTTTCCTTGCCTTGTACTACCTGCCCTGCCTTATACTACGCTTTTAATTTTATTTTGTCCTGCCTGTACTTGTCATTTATCTGCCCTGCTTCACCCTGTCTTTTTAAAGCTTTTAACCTACCTTTTCTCTGCTTATACCTTGCCGTTTCTCTTCCCTGCCTCGCCCCGCCGTTGCCCTGGTTTTGAGTTTTTTTTCCCTTGCCTAATTTGACTCTACTCAGCTTTATCATACCCAATCTTACGTTACGCTAGTATATTGTAAAAAATTGCTCAAAAATCTACTGTATTTTAGAACCTTACCTTTTAGGAAATTATCTTCTCCTACATTTTAATTTAACTTTCCCTTTCCTACCCTACCCAAAAACCACAAAACTAAAATTCCAAACCCTTTACCCCAAAAATTTACCGCAAACATTTGAATAGGAGTAATCTCCAGGTTGTATTGTCAAAAAAACAAGTTTTTTCTTCTCCGAACACAAAAAAGTGCGTTGTTTTTCCACGAGAAGATTCTGAATCGCGCTTTGAAGCCGCCAGTTTGGCGCAAAAGAACAGTATGGGAAACGTCCGCCAAAAGAATGGCACAAATATTGTAACGGTCTCCTCGTTTATTTGATTTTGAATTAGCTAATCGAGTTTTTTGTAGGTCAAAGGTGTTTCAAACTGGTTGGTGGGTTTGTGAATTTGTTGGGGATTAAAGAGGTTAATGAGAGGGTTAATGAACATACAATATTGTCTATGATATGTAAGGTTAATTTAGTTGATATGGACTGAAAATGGAGTCGGTTAATAGAAAAGGTAAAAGAATACCTTACCCTACCCTACCCTACCCTACCCTACCCTACTCTACCCTACCCTACCCTACCCTACCCTAGTACCCCCATACCTAGATTAATGTTTACCCTACCGTACTTTTAAAATTTTTCAAAAAATGAGTAAAATTTTAAAATATCATATAATTTTAAAATCCCAACCCTTAAATGTCCCCTCCCCTCAAAAAGCATAAGGAAGATCTGGGAACGTTGAGCGCATTCCGACTAGCCAGAGCCTGTAATTACCGTGATCATTACGCGCTTTTTACAAATTTATTTATTTTTTATGTTTCGGACAGGCAATTGGCACTCAAAAGGTCATTCACGTCAGGGAAAACTTACAAATAAGGGGACGCTGGTAGGGCAGGGTAAAACAATATTGAAACTTTAAAAAATATGTTATGCTTTACTCTGCTCCAAACTTAAGTTTTACCTTACCTTACCTTGCTCCTAATTGCAATTCGTTCTACCCTACCCTGCCTGCTCTAAAATTACGTTTAACTCTGCCTTACCCTACTCCAGGCTTATGTTTCGACCTGCTCTACCCCGCTTTAAAATAATGTTTTGCCCTACCCTACCATGCTTTAAACTTATGTTTTACACGACTTTAGCCTACTCTAATATTATTTTCCATCCTACACTGCCCTGCTCCAAACTTATTTCTTGCCCTGGTTAAAGCTTATGTTTTGCTCTGCCTTGTCCTGAAATTATGCTTCGTCTTACCCTGCCATGCCCAAAATAAAGTTTTTTCTTACCCTACCCTGTTACAAAATTATGTTTCTCTCTGCCATACCCTGTTTTAAAACTATGTTTTACCCTACCCTACTTCAAAACTATGTTTCACCCTACCCTACTCTAAGATTACGTGTCAGCCTACCCTAACATGCTCCAAAGTTATGTTTTACCCTGCCCTACCATACTAAACTTACGTGTCTTCCGATTCTTCTCTACCATGCTACAAAAGTATGTTTCGTCCTACTCTACCCTGCTGAAAGCAGCCCATTTCCCTTCTCCCCCTCCTTAAAAAATCATATAACAGCCTCCCTACTAGGAACCACTTCATCGTTAGCTAAGCTCTCTATACCTACCTACTATAAAATAACCAATATTTTAGTATATAATGTTTAATATTAAGGTTCTAAACAAAAAAATTATAAAAAACAATAAAAATTAAAAGAAGATACTATAATATAAAATAAAAAGATTTACTTTAGAGCTTATGAAAGACAATAAACGTTAAATAGACATTGTAGAACCCGATGACAATGTATTTTATAAAAACACCAGTATTGTTGTAGTTTCTGTGTAATAACTGTAATAGTCGAGAGTATTTCCTGAAGATTAGGGGACCACAGTATGGTTGTCAATATGTGACTCGTGGCTAGAAAACAATGTTTGGCCGTTGCTTAAACCAATTGACAAAACTAGCAAAATTAGAATATGCTGGACTAGAAAAAGGACGTCGCCTGACTAGAAGAAGTAAAATATGACTAAACAGGAAAATCAGTGGTGGGTGGAAAAGCCGGGCCGGCTTTTGACGTGATTGAGATCTTTTTTACCATTGGTAATACTGTGACTGGCGGTGGGTAGTGTTGTCGGTGGAAGGAGCCTAGAACACGAAAAAGCTTATCATTTTTAACTGTAAATATAATTAGATATATAATTTATCAAGTTGAAAAGCCAGAAAATTTTTTTAACCAAGAAGAATACGTTTCAGACCTAATCAAGCCTACAAAAGTCGCCACAAGCCTGAGCCGGATTAAAACTGATGAAGAAAGTGCCCGACCTGTCTCGTTCTGATTAACTTCAAGCTTTTTATATAGCCAGATCATGTTAATATAAGATCTTCAGCAAAACACTAAATCGCGCTTTCCAGTCAATCCCGAGAAAATCAATTATGTTTTGAATTTCCCGCCAAGTTGGTATTGTGTTGCAAGCTTATAACTTCGCCATTTTTTAACTTTTAGGAATTTTTCTTTGATATACTAGTAGAATACCTTTAAAAGAACCTAAATTTTTAAATTTGTAAGCGTATCTTGTCTGGAAAGTCAAAAAACGTGCTTGAAACACAATGCCAAATTGGCGGGAAACCCAAATAATAATAAAATTTAAAACTCAAAAGCGCAAGCTAAAATTTTTTATGGGTACTGTTGGTAGTACAGAAAAATTAAAAAAATTTTGAACTGAATCTGGGCAGAGCAGGTTGAGTCTTTCCTCATAAGTTCGGTTGAAAAATTAAAGCTAGACCTAACTTAATATAACGTTAATATAATACTTAACCCACCTTCCATCCTCCTCGAGCTGCTCGAAGTTTCCATTTCATTCGTCAACCTTCTTTGTCTTTTATCCGGCTCACCATGGTATTTCCTGGCTGCTAATGGACTAGTTCCAGAAACAGTTTGTAGATTCACACTAGTAATGGCAGCTGGTGGAATATGCTTTGGCTGAGGTCGCTGGCCTGGCCTTAATGGTGCTCCTAATGAGTCGACTGAAGTTCTACGGATCGGGGAGGGCGGGGAGGGGTTGTTTCTGTGACGGTGATGATCATGTCGTTGTAAGGAGGCTGAAGATGGATGTGCTGGAGTTGCGGTCAGACCTTGTAGTAGAGAGTCGGATGATTTTTCTCTAAAAATTGTAAGGTTTGATATGAAAATTCTGAATTTATTTTACCTTACCCTACCTTATCTTACCCTATCCTACCTTACCCTACCGTGCCCTATCCTGCCATATGCTACCCTACCCATAAAACACTTCAACCTCAACAATTACCGTACTTCTTAACATGCCTCATAGGAGGCGGTGGTGCCTTGACCTCCATGACTGGTATCATTTGAAAGTTCGATCCTCCAGAATCCTGACTTGAACTCTTGCTCATCTGCATCCTACCATCCTTCGAGAATCTTCGTTGCCTCGACCTTGGAGTACCTTCCAACTGCTTTGGCGATGTTTGTGCTCCACCTTTAGGCGAAGATTGACCACCAGTCTTAGGCGAAGGTTGTGCACTAGTCTTTGGAGAGCTCTGTGGTACTGTTTTGACAGCCGGCTTCTCCATTTCCTTTGGTTTTTCTTTTATTGTTTCCATTTTGGGCTTCGGTTCCTCTTCTTCCGTTACAGTACTACTGTGATTCTCTTCCACTCCAAGGGATATGGACTTTTCCATGTTCTTCTCCATGTTCCACTTGACTCGGACGGCGTTGCGATCTTTTCGTCGTTCTTCACGTTCTCGCTTCTTCTCCTCCGTTTCTTCATCGTTCTGGCCTTTGTACTGTAATATTGAGATTAGAAATTATATTTTTTAATTGGAAACAGACTTAAATAATGTTTAATATTATTATAAACAATAGACACCTTCCCGTTGCAATTTTTCAATATTTTTGAAATTCTAACGTCTATCACAATATCAGAAAGTGTGTAATCAACAAAAGCCAGATATTTTATGCAAATAAAAGTTAAAAATTGTGAGATAAATACTTTTTTCATATTTTAAACGCATAGAAGTTTAACATTTCACTACTCTTAAGGTTTGAACGAATTAGATCATTTATAACAATATGGGAAAGCGTTGAAACAACAAAAAACCACATATTTTATAAAAATAAAGGTTAAAAACTGTTAGAAGAATACTTTTTTATATATTTGAAGTTATAAAAACTAAGCATTTCATTACTTTTAAAGGTTGAAGGAATTTGATCATCTATAACAATATCGGGAAAACCCTAATCTATATCTCGAAAATTATCTAACTAAAACTCTTGTTTTAGGTATCAAATTGAAGCTTATTGTATGCTTAATCTAGGCAAAAATGTACCAGTGAACTAGTAGAATTCTTTAGAAAGTTATAACTTATTTTAGAAACCAACAAACCAAGTTTTCACCGTGTGTTACTCATTTTTAAATCGATCTTACACGACGAATAAGAGGCAGTTAGACATAAAATCTTTTGCAAATTAAAAATTCTAAGTGTTTCCTATAGCTACAAATCACAATATTATAAATAAAACCAAAACCAACCTCAGCAAACCCTCCGCCCCAGCTAGTGTTTCTCCACATGCCATTCTCCTTGGCTCTTCGTACTCGTTCCGATACCTCTTCGAACTGTTGCATCCGATGATACTTCTCCGCCTGTAGGCGTTGTAAATGAAGCGAACACTTGAGCACTGTGAAGAAACATCCACATTGGACAATCGAGCCCAATAGCAACATTGTGGCAAACCACATTCGTTCTACTAGTTGGCGGAACTGAAAATGTTGATATTAAGGTTTACAATACGTTTATATTAACAAAACCAACGCTAAAAAGTACGTATTTTACCTAAATTTTGAAAAATTTGATCAAAAGCCATATTTAATGCCCAAAATTGACCGTTTTAAACTAATATTAAGGTAATTCATAAAGATATGAGCCTGTTTTTTAATTTTTACTTTAGAAAAGCATACTTGAAAATGCCGTTTATGGGTATACACATCACCATAGACGTAGGACCACGCGTATACACCAAAATAAGTTAAAGAAACCATCAATCCAAGCAGTTGGATGGCCAAATGTGGCAACAACATCTTCGGAGCTGTGTTACAGATACCAATAAACATTAATAATACCTAAAATATTATATATTTTATATAGAATTCTATATTTTATCTAAAATACTTGGAAAATTGATTATATAGCTATGCTAAAAAAGTCTTGTCGTCAAAACATTAAGCCTTAAATAATAAAATACGACAAAATTTTTTCTTGGCTTAATAAAAATAATTTAGACTGAAAAAACTTTGAAATAACAAAATATTACAGTAAGTTTAATATTTTTACCAATCTTTGAATAATAACTTACACAAACACCAATGGCGACCATGGACAACGCGATGACATAGTCACCAGCTAAAGTAATATTGGAATGTGAAAAGTGGAACTTAAGGCATGTTTCCCATTTCCTGAAACCGAAATTGATTAAAGATAAAATTTTTTGTTTATCTTTACTTTTTGTGAAAAAAAAATTGTCCACCCCAAAATTAAAAAAAATAAATTTTTACCCCCCCCCCCAAAATTTTTTTTGTAATTGAGCCTAGAACGCCTGAAACATTGTGGAAATGCCTAAAGCCTCCTTTTTAACATTTTAAAATCCACCTATACTCTAACTTAATATACCATAGCCCTATCCCAAAGCTCTAGCCCTAGCTCTAACCCTAGCTCTAGCTCTAGCCCTAGCTTTCGCTCTGGCTCTGGCTCTGGCTCTGACTCTGACTCTGACTCTGACTCTGACTCTGGCTCTGGCTCTAGCTCTAACTCTAGCTCAAGCTCTAGCCCAATGTTTTAAAAATAGATGTCATATTAACCTACCGTTGAAAACAAGCATTTAATTCTCGGTTTTTCAATGACATTTGTTTTAGCAGGGTTGTAAGGAAAAGGCCGACCACCACCAACTCCACAATACCCACAATTACAGTACCGGTTTTGATGGGAAGACAGTTAAAACAAGTTCGATTGTTCTCTTTCGATCGTACTGTAGATAGTACTCGTTGTCCGTGATGATGCCATGCCCGTCCTGTCTCGGCGGGCATTCTGAAAGTTTTTTTTATTTTGAAATTTCAAAATTTTAAAAAATTTAATTTTTAAATTTAAAAACAACCAAAACACGACCAAAATCCCCCAATAATCCCTAAATTCAAATCCCCCGAGGCTTATTCTTTGATTTTTTGACAATTTTAACTCCGATCTGACAGCACTTCGAATGGAATCGAATTTCAAATTAAGACACGTTATAAAAGTCAAAGATGTAGGTGTCTGAAACAACCGGAAGCTATTGATTTCATAGACGGCTTGCAGGGCTACGAACGAAGCATCAGATGAGGATTCGTGAAAAGTTTATAGTATTGAATTAAAGGAAGTAGATAGGTTCTATTATAGAACCGACATAAGGTAAATGATAAGATTGTATTAGGTCGTTCACTTGATTTTGTGCCCTCTTCCGAAGTAACTTTTCAAGGTTAGATGGCTCATAATTATTTGAACAAATCAATAGTATTAAATTTGGGTAAGTGATACAGTTAAGAAAAAAAGCGATGGTACTTTATAAAACCTACCCTACCCTTACCTAACATATTATACTCAACTTTGCTTTCCCCATCTCTATTCTACCCTACTCTACTTTACTCTACATTGCTTTACTCTAACCTGCATAAACCGGGTCTACTACACTCTACCCTAACTTATCTTTCTTTATTCTATCGTACTGTACTTGACTCTATGTTATCCCACTTTAGTCTACGCTACCCTACCTACTTTAACTTACCCTACTCTACGCTACCCTACTTTAAACTGACCCTAGCTTTACTTCAACCCTAATTTAAATCTATCACAACCCTACCCTACTCCTACCCTCTAGCTTTAATCTAACTTTACTATAGTTTAGTATGTCTTACTTCTCCTACTCTTTAGAACAGATGGCTACTACAAAAAAAATTTTTAAATTTTGAAACCTCGAAAAATTTTAACTTCACATTTACAAACCAAACAACAAAATCGACTGAACCAAAGTGAAATCGAATAATAATTTATCGTGATCTGATGATATTATTTATAACGAATGCCGCTTTGATATAACCAAAAATCTTATTGTTTTGAGAAGCTGCAACGAAATGAGAAAACATTCACCACATGTCACGAAAAAGCACCTCCTCGTGATTTGGACTATCAAAAAGTCATTGTAATACTAGGCATGGAATATCAAAAATTTTGGAAAGTTTCTTTCTGTAAAATACGTCATTGTTATCATTTGACTGCAAATTAAAATTTGAAAATTTTGATTTTTAAGGTTACTGTAACAAAAATTAGACCCTACAATACCCAAAAAATATAAAAAATAAAAAAATTTTCAAACACCTCGTTTTACAATTTAAAATTTAAAATATTTTTAAAAATCCTAAAATACGAAGGCCAAAAAACTAGGCTGAGAAATTAAAGTTGAAAAACATTTTCGGCCGAAAAATGGAAATAAAAGACAGCTGACAGTGCCGAAGCGATAGGGCCAGTGATAGAGTGATAAAACTGTTCGAAAGCAAAAAACATTAACACTAATTTATGCCAAAAGTAAAAAGTCCTGGTCATTACCCGGAACGAGGTTGTAATTGCTCGTGATTTGTTCGGTTTTATCGCTTTGTTTGATTTTATTGTCTTTCAAAAAATTTTTTTTTATATACTGTCTCTATTAGGTTGTTCAAATCGTTCTGTACTTCCTAACCCAGCAAGTTTTCTTTGAAGAAGCACATAACTATTTCAACAACCTAATATTATACATAATACTTTAGTTGAGAGCCCTAGCTCAGAGCTCTAGCCCAGAGTCCTAGCCCAGAGTCCTAGCCCAGAGCTCTAGCCCAGAGCCCTAGCCCAGAGCCCTAGTCCAGAGCCTTAAAACAAAATCCTAGCCCTTAAGGGGAACAACCAGGGTAGGCCCAGTGTTGAGTTCCAGCTTACCCTAGGCATTTTTCACTTTTTTTCTCAAACCGGCCCGACATGATTGTAGTTAGGGTTCGGGTGGGACAAGCCGATCTTATGCGGCCGTGTTTCACTCTTATAAGCCGTAGTTTCAGCCCCAAGTAATTTTTAATTCACTATTAAATTTACTTGTTCTTAATGTTAAATTGTCTGCATTTTCGTATTTTACATTACTCATATCAAAAATATGGTTTAAAATCTCAAAAAAATCAAGCAAAACCTTTGTCCAATTAACAAGTCCAAACCTCATGAACTTTTATTTTGAAGTTATTTTTAAAACCAAAATTCTAATAGTGCCTAAAGGCCGGCGCATAAATTACCCGATCAAACGAGCTTCGAACAGCTCGTTAAATCCGTCATTATGACGCAGATCTGCAAGGAAACTGCCAGGCTAGAAATATGGCTAAAATAGATCTTATTTCTTTATTATTTCATTATTTTTTCATTTTTTTGTTCTATTGACAGGTTGACGGTTTCGTATTTTACTACAAATCTAATAAGTAGTATTAAGACGGTCGAAAAAAAGTTATTGCCAACTTTTAAAGCAGAATTTCCTAGAACTAGGGCTATGGCTAAGATAATCCTTAAGAATCAAAAAATCAAGAAAGTCTTGTCGTTTTTTGACGTGCAAACCTTTGTTGAAAAACGACAAGACTTTTTGGAGCATATGTATATTTAAATTTTTACACTTTTATAATTGAAACGTTATCTTTAGACTAATATTCAAATTTTTAATACAAAACTTTAAAAAAATTAACTTTCAAATTCGAAAAAACTAATCGACCACTGATGGCTTGTCACGTTGCCGACTGCTACCGTGAAAACCCTGAATCACAAAGATTATCAAATCAATCATTTTTCTTTAGCGACGATGACAAGTCTAAACAAGCAAAAAAAAATGAAAAAAAATGAGATTGGCACAAAGTGCATTTTTAAATTATCACAAATTTGTTTGTAAAGAAAGTTTTTGCACATATCGAATAGATTATTATAAAAAATATTAATTTTAACGTGCAGAGCGAAAAATAGCAGAAACTTTCTTTACAATACATAAAATAGCAAAAAACTTTCATTACAAGACATAAAATGGCAAGAACTTTCTTTACAAAGCAAAAAATGGCAAGAACTTTAAGTACAAAGTATAAAATGGCAAGAACTTTCTTTACAGAACAAAAAATATCAAGAACTTTCTTTTCAAGACATAAAATGGCAAGAACTTTCTTTACAAAGCATGAAAGGGCAAAAAATTTCATTTCAAATCCAACAAAGGCTGGAACTTTTACAACGTATCAAATGATAACAAGTTGGTCTCATAGTAAAAACTTGCCAAAATTTTTTATATTCCTTTTACTTTTCGACCAATCTACCAAAATCAAAATTCGACAATTTTGAATTAAAAACGCCCTCAAAATGCACTAAAAACGAGCCGAAAAGATTCGAAAAACGATCAAAAAATTTATGTGCAGGTGAATCTCTTAATCCCCCCCTCTTGGTCTCGACATAAATCCGAACGCAAAAGTTTATGGCCGAAGGAGGTTGGGCCGAAGAAGGTTTATACAAATTTATCGCTTCATTCTTCGTCCAATTTGTTGACAATGACAAGTCATTTTAAAATTTCATTCTTTAAATAATATAATTTCTTGTTTTATGAATTTTGGTTTACAAACCGTATTTTACAAGATTAATATAGTGTAGACATATATTAGAGTAGATAGGATAATAGTAAAAACCACCGCAAGCACAAAGTGAAAATTAAAAAAGTTATGGTCATAAATACCATATTACGTCTAGTACAAACACAGTAAACAGTAACTACAACGTAATTTTTAAAAAAGTTTAAAAAAACAAAAAGGGCACCAAGCACAAGATTTGCATTCTAAATCAGCCATTGAAAGAATGACTCGATCTACCACCCCCCAGAAAAAAATTTTCTAAAAAAGTTAAACGTGGCCCCCCCTGTGAAATTTTCGAAAAAATTTTAAAAAATCGACACAGGTAGCAGTTACCTGTGCCGATATTTTCGGCCCCGTCCCAGAGCAAAAGTCCCCGCCCGGCCCACTACACTGTATTACGGCAAGTACAGAGGATTTTAAACTTCTGTACAGCGAGACTGTCTTATAACGAACAATTTAAAAATTCCCGAGCAATTCGTTATACAGGAGTTGTATTGTATTGAAGTTATGTTGTAAAACTCTTTGACCGCACTGTAAAGTAATTTTACATTATCCTTTCTATTTTTTATCTTGTGTTTCTAAGCCTTTGAAATTGGACTTTTTTTGTCAAATTCTTCTTTACAATCATCGTTATCAATGATTTACAGGTTCTAATGTGTCAATGTAGAAACAATAACGACTGCTGAATAACATATCAGCTTCTTGCCAAAATCAGCCGGAAATCAACCCACCTTCCACAAGGTCAAGCTTTTTTGGCCAGTCAGTTGTCTTGATTTAATTAAAAAAGAATTGAGGCCGGCAGACAAAGTGATTGTTCGAAAACACTTATGCGTTACTTCTTCCTCACCATCAGTATCCTCGCCTTTTTGCTGGTTTATGTGGATGCCAGAGGCGGTAGAAGGGGCGGCAAAGGGAAGGGCAAGAGTAATTTACAGTTCGCTCAAGTGGCCGAGTTCTCTTTGATTCAACAGGAGGTTCTGGATAATAGGGTAGGGTGGATTTTGATTTTTTTTAAGGAAAAGGTAGTCCGAACATAGCAATTTTTAAGTTTTAAACAAAAAAGTTTAAGTCTGAATCAAACGCAGTGATTTTTGGTTCAAAAAACCAAACTTTGAGGCTTCAAAAAAGTTTTGTTGTTTTTCAACATAAAAGTCAATGTAAATTGACGACAAAACTTTTGCCTGCCTATAATAATATTTTTTTCTATAAAAAATAACTTTTCAATGAATTTCAAACAAAAAACAAGTTAGAAGCTTATATTTCGATTCCTGTTTTTTTAGAGTGCCCAAATCATAACAGGCAGTCACTTCAGTCAGCTCTACCGGCTTGGCTATAAGTTACTATTGACTTGTCGAGCGCGCGGAGAGCCCAGGCCAATGATAAAATGGTTCAAAGAAGGCGCTGAGTTACAACCTAAAAGCAATACACATGTAAGTTATTTTAAACTTGATTTTATTAGCAAAAACTTTCTTTACAAGGTAAAAAGTGGCAATAACTTTGCCTATTTGAAGCGAAAAATTAAAATTTTTTAAATTTTTTTTGCCATTTTAGTCATTCAAAAATAGTTCAAAGTTTTAAAGACTTAATTTCAAAGATCCGTATTTTACTTTTTCAGTACTACGAAAAGCCCATAGGCAAAGACGAGATCTGGAGCAAACTGGAGATCGATCCAGCCACGATGGGTGATCAAGGTGTATATGCATGTGTAGCCAACAATCAGCATGGTGTAATGGCAAAGAATTTTAAAGCAGAATATACGTATTAGCACTGTACAAAGTATTATAAATATTGGCCAATAAATTTATTCTATTTTACGAAAAACTCAATTTTAAAAATTTAAAAAATTAAAATTTTTAAATTTATTGATGTGAGTTATAAAATACGGTTTATTAACTATATTCTTATCCATACGATCCAAAGGTATAATAAAAAGCACGTTTCATCGTACAAAACGACCGTAAAACACAATGCCAAGGTTGTTTTCGTGGTGGGACGCACGGATATTTCATAAGAGGCGTTTTTACTGAAAATTTTTCCTTTACCTTGCGAAACTTTACTCTGTTAATCAAAAAGAATAACGAATAATTAATACCCGTTAAAAGTACTTTTTACACTTTTTTTTGTTATTTTTCGTAATTTTATATCGTCTTTGTATTATATTTTACTGGACTTTGATATTTAGGTGTCAAGATGGCGCTTGTTGGGATGGAGTTCAACGCGCCCTTGCGGACAGTTAAACGGGTTCAGTTTGGTGTGCTTGGACCGGATGAAATTGTAAGTTACTAATTGCTTTTGTTGATACTGTTTTAGATGAAGTTCTTTTTAACCGGGTCATGCCTAAAATTTAGCCAAAACTATTGTCTTTTAGCTTGAAACATAGTTTGAAATGCAGCTTTTCTAACGATATGTTTTTAGCGGTCTATGTCTGTTGGCGAGATAAAATTTGCCGAAGTTTACGATGAAGGCAAGCCAAAGTTGGGCGGGTTGATGGATCCTCGTCAGGGTTGCATCGACAAGAAAGGACGATGTAACACATGTGCTGGATCACTCACAGATTGTCCTGGCCATTTTGCACATCTTGAGTTGGCCAAGCCTGTATTTTATATCGGATTTTTGACAAAAACTTTGAAGGTATGTTTGTTTTATATTGTCGTTGGTTTTTAGGTTTTAAGATAAGTTTTAAATCTGCTTTCTGGTATTTTTTGAAATAATAAGGTTTATAAGATGTTGCTACTTCTTTTGCTGGGCGTTTCCATGTCAATAATTTTTAAAATTCATTTTTTTTCTAAAAAATACGTTGTTTAGCTCCTCCGATGTGTGTGCTTCTACTGCAGTCGTTTATTGGTCGACAAAGATAACCCAAGAGTTCAAGATGTTCTTCAGAAGACCAAGGGTAATCCTCGACGTCGAATGGCCTTAATTTACGACATGTGTAAAGCTAAAGCTGTCTGTGAAGGTGTGGACAACCTGGATGGAGCTAATTTGGAAGATCTGACAGATGCCGAAAAAGAGCTACGTGCTGGTGGTTGTGGTCGTTATCAACCATCGTATCGTCGTACTGGTATCGAAGTTACAGCCGAATGGAGGAAGCATGTTAACGAAGACACACAAGAGCGAAAGATCACATTGACGGCCGAAAAAGTGTTGGAAGTGTTCAAAGCCATCACTGACGAAGACATTGAGATCATGGGTTTGGACACAAAGTTTTCGCGACCAGAATGGATGATTTGTCAGGTTGTACCAGTACCACCATTGCCTGTACGACCGGCTGTTGTTACTTTTGGTTCGGCGAGGAATCAGGACGATTTGACTCACAAATTGGCTGATATTGTCAAAACTAATAATCAGCTCAAAGCGTGAGTGATTATTGATGTAGTTTTTGAAGAAGGTTAGGCTAGGGCGCAGCTAAGCAATGGTTATGTTGAAATGACATAAAGTTGATAAATTACTAAAGATATCACTTTTACAAAGTTTTTTCTTCAATTTAACTGAATATTGTTGTAGTAACGAATCAGGCGGAGCAGCAGCTCACGTTATAGCAGAAGACGTTCGTCTACTACAATATCACGTTGCCACAATGACTGACAATCAAATCCCAGGTGTACCAACAGCAACACAGAAGGGTGGACGGCCGTTGAAGTCGATTAAACAACGTCTGAAGGGAAAAGAAGGTCGTATTAGATGTAATTTGATGGGAAAACGTGTCGACTTCTCAGCACGTACTGTAATTACACCAGATCCGAATCTGCCAATTGATACTGTAGGAGTACCAAGGACTATTGCGCAAAATATGACATTCCCGGAGATTGTCACACCTTTCAATATTGATAAGTAAGTGGTTGGGAGGGGAGGTTTTTGGGTATTATTTAATGTTTTAGGTAATGTTTGAGGGGTTTTTGTTGATTTTTGGGCTTTATCTTGTAGTAGGTGGAAATATTAAAGTTTTTTTAGCATTATATTGATTAATATTGTGTTAAGTGTTATATTATGTTTATTTTATGACATTTTTTGTTTATATTATGCTTATATTTTGTTATTCTTGTCTATTTTCAGACTACAAGAGCTAGTTAACCGAGGTGATACCACTTATCCCGGAGCCAAGTACATTATCAGAGAAAACGGCCTTCGAGTCGATCTACGGTACCATCCCAGAGCGGCCGATCTTCATTTACTACCCGGCTACAGAGTGGAGCGTCACATGAGAGATGGTGACATTATCGTATTCAATCGTCAACCAACTCTTCACAAAATGTCTATGATGGGACACAGAGTCAAGGTCTTACCGTGGTCAACATTCCGTATGAATCTCTCTGTAACCTCACCTTACAACGCCGACTTTGACGGTGACGAAATGAACCTTCACTTGCCTCAAAGTCTCGAGACTAAGGCTGAGATCATGGAGATTGCAATGGTACCACGACAACTGATCACTCCTCAAGCCAACAAACCTGTCATGGGTATCGTACAGGATACGTTGTGTGCTGTGCGTATGATGACGAAGAGAGACGTGTTCATTGAGTTGCCGAGAACTATGGACTTGCTGTTGCATTACCCAGATTGGGACGGAAAAATACCACAGCCAGCGATTCTGAAGCCTAAACCATTGTGGACCGGAAAGCAAATGTTCTCGTTGATTATTCCAGGTAAACCAGGGTTTTGATAGTTTCACGATGGGGAAATATCCTTTCGGGTTGTCATTTATGGTGTTTATGCTGGTTTTTATGTATTTTTTTGCAAATTCATGTTTTCGTGGTGGGACCTAAGTTTTTTCGGGGTGGGGAATTTGGGTACCTTTTGAACAATGTATGTTAAGGCACTGAATTTAAAAAAAATTTTTTAATTTTTGAAATTCCAGGACAAGTAAACTGTCTTCGAACCCACTCCACCCATCCGGATGATGAAGACAGTGGACCGTATAAGTGGATCTCTCCTGGAGACACGAAGGTAATTGTTGTCAATGGAGAATTGCACGCTGGTATCATTTGTTCAAGAACGGTCGGTAAATCAGCTGGTAACTTGTTGCACGTCTGTACACTTGAATTGGGTCATCAAACTGCTGCCAGGTTCTATTCTCATATTCAGGTAGGGTCATTTTTTTGACTGTTATGCCATTTTGAAATCAATTTGCGAATATTTTTGATATTATCCATGACTTTTACACTATTTTCTATTTTTGAATATAATCTTTTCAGTTGCTGGTAAACAAATGGCTCCTAGCCGAAGGTCATACCATTGGTATTGGGGACACAATCGCCGATCAAGCCACCTACCGTGACATCCAAGAAACCATCAGAAAAGCGAAACAAGAAGTAGTGGAAATTATCGAGAAGGCTCACAACGATGAATTGGAACCAACTCCTGGTAACTCCCTCCGCCAAACCTTTGAAAACCACGTGAATCGAATTCTGAACGATGCTCGTGATCGTACCGGTTCCTCAGCTCAACGTTCCTTGTCAGAATTCAACAACTTCAAGGCTATGGTGGTGGCTGGCTCAAAAGGATCCAAAATTAACATCTCTCAGGTCATTGCTTGTGTAGGACAACAGAACGTTGAAGGAAAACGTATTCCATTTGGCTTCAGACACAGAACGTTACCTCACTTCATCAAGGACGACAACGGTCCAGATTCTAAAGGTTTTGTCGAGAATTCGTACCTTGCCGGTCTAACACCAGCCGAGTTCTTCTTCCACGCTATGGGAGGACGTGAAGGTCTGATCGATACAGCTGTAAAAACGGCCGAAACTGGTTACATTCAACGTCGTCTGATCAAAGCTATGGAATCTGTCATGGTGAACTACGATGGAACGGTGAGAAACGCTGTCGGTCAAATGATCCAACTGCGTTACGGTGAAGATGGTCTTGATGGTACATGGGTCGAGAATCAAACCTTGGAAACTCTGAAGCCAAACAACGTCCTATTCGAAAAGAAATTTCACCTGGATACAGGAAACATCAGAGAACTAAAGGATTTGTACACCGACGAAGCCTACAGGGACTTAACCACCACTGCCGGTCATCAACAGATCTGCAACGACGAATGGGTCCAGATTCAGGAGGACAGAAGACTGTTGAGGAAGATCTTTCCCAATCCAAACGTCAAAATCCATTTACCGTGCAATCTGTCACGTCTTATCTGGAACGCTCAGAAGATTTTCCACGTAGACTTGAGGAAACGATGCGAACTCTCACCGCTAAAGGTCATCGAAGGCATCAAAGAGCTTTCGAAGCGCCTTGTCATCGTCGGTGGAGAAGACCGAATCTCTCAGCAAGCCCAGTACAATGCCACTTTACTCTTCAACATCCTGCTAAGGTCAACCTTCTCAGCAAAACAAATGGCCAGCACTCACAAGTTGAACGCCGAAGCCTTCGAATGGGTATTGGGAGAAGTGGAGACCAGATTCAATCAAGCCATAGCTCAACCTGGCGAAATGGTCGGCGCTTTGGCCGCTCAATCTCTCGGAGAACCGGCCACTCAAATGACCCTCAACACTTTCCATTATGCTGGTGTGTCGGCCAAGAACGTCACGTTGGGTGTGCCACGTCTGAAGGAAATTATCAACGTTTCGAAGAATCCAAAAACTCCGTCATTGACCGTATTCTTAACTGGAAACTCGGCCAAGGATGCGGAAAAGGCCAAGGATGTGCTTTGCAAGCTAGAACATACGACCTTGAGGAAAGTAACGGCCGAAACTGCGATCTACTACGATCCAGGTGTTGTGGATACTTGTATTGAAGAGGACAAGGATTGGGTGCAAATCTTCTACGAAATGCCTGATGCTGATCCGTCCAATGCCGGACCTTGGTTGCTGAGGATTAAGATGGATAGAAAGAGGTAGGGAATGAGCTTCTGTGAGGGGAGTAGGTATAAAGGTTGATAAAAAAGTACATTTTGTGATAAAAAAGGTAAAGAATTTGATGAAAAAGGTACAAAAAACATGTTTTTCTTTGAATTATGGTAAATTCAATGTTGGTAAAATGCGGTTTTGTTGCTAAATTTTAACCTTGTAAACTGTTGTTAAAAATTCCTTTTCTAACCCCATTCCTTTCAGAATGACAGACAAGAAGCTAACAATGGAAAGCATAGCCAGACGAATCACCGAAGGCTTTGGCTCCGACCTCCACGTTATCTACACCGATGACAATTCGGAAGACCTGGTATTCCATATCCGTCTCACTAAGAATCCGGCCGAAAAAGAAACCGAAGAACAGTTGGACAAGATGGAAGACGACGTGTTTTTGAGATGTATCGAGACCAACATGTTGAGCGACTTGGCTCTACAAGGTATCGAAGCCATCTCCAAGGTATACATGCACAAACCGACCACCGATGACAAGAAGAAGGTCGTCATTCAGCCGGATGGATCATATCAGATGGTCTCTGAATGGTTGTTGGAAACGGATGGAACAGCGTTGTTGAGGGTAAGGAGGTTTGGTTAGTTGATAAATCTATGTTAAGGGCTGAAATTTAGTTTTGTTAGGTTGATAAAGCCATAAAAGATTATAATATCAAAAAAAAGTTTTGGAAACTAACGAAAAGGTTGTAAAAAGTAATATTAATATGACATAACCATGTTAACTACATTAAAATTACAATTATATGACCATCTTTAAACTTATATTGTTATAGGTATTGTCCGAAGAACACGTCGACCCGGCCAGAACAACCTCCAACGATATTTGTGAAATTTTTGAAGTCCTCGGAATCGAAGCCGTGCGAAAATCGATTGAAAAAGAAATGAACCAAGTCATTTCTTTCGACGGTTCCTACGTAAATTACCGTCACTTGGCTCTACTTTGTGATGTCATGACAGCCAAAGGTCATCTTATGGCCATCACTCGTCACGGTATCAACAGACAAGAAGTCGGCGCTCTGATGAGATGCTCCTTCGAAGAAACGGTCGATATCCTCATGGAAGCTGCAATGCACGCCGAAGTCGACCCAGTCAAAGGAGTCTCAGAGAATATTATGTTAGGACAACTAGCCAAAGCCGGTACTGGATGCTTTGATTTGGTACTGGATTCGGAGAAGTGCAAACTGGGTATGGAGATTCAGGCCAACACAATGGGAATGATGGGCGGCGCCTTCTTCAACGATGGAATGTCTTCACCAGCCTCATCCTCAATGTCACCAAGCCGTACGCCATGGCAAAACGGCCCAACTGGCGCTACACCATCGTACGCTGGCGACGGAGCCTGGAGTCCAATGGGAACGGGCGGAGTCACACCAGGCGGAGCTTTCAGTCCAGTCGGAGCTGGATCGGACAGCGGATTCTCACCCGCCTACAGCGAAGCTTTCAGCCCTCGAGGCGCTCAAAGCCCTGGTATGTCACCTGGCTATGGTAGTCCCAGGCCAGGAGCTTCACCAGCTTACGCCATGTCTCCAGCCTACAATCCAGGAACCGGCTACTCACCAACTTCCCCATCTTACAGTCCGACATCTCCAGCCTACAACCCAACTTCTCCCAGATACTCTCCAACTTCACCATCATACAGTCCGACTAGCCCTTCGTACTCACCGACTTTACCGTCCTACAGTCCAACGAGTCCATCATACAGTCCGACGTCACCATCGTACAGTCCAACATCACCTTCATACAGTCCAACAAGTCCGTCTTACAGTCCGAATTCGCCGGCCGCTGGCAATGCCTACTCTCCATCAAGTCCGTCATACTCTCCTACAAGTCCACGGTACTCACCAACCAGTCCATCATACAGTCCGACGTCACCGTCGTACAGTCCAACCAGTCCATCGTATTCACCGAGCTCGCCAAGTAGGTTTTGAATTAAAAAAAATTTTTGAAATTTCGAATTTTTTAAAATACTTTTAAAATTTATAAACTGTGCCAAACTTTGACGTTATACCTAATTTTAGGTTACTCTCCATCTTCACCACGGTACTCACCGAGCTCACCGGCATATTCACCATCCTCGCCACAGTATTCGCCGACGAGTCCGCAGTACTCGCCTTCAAGCCCACAATACAGTCCGTCGTCGCCGTCGTACTCGCCCAGCTCACCGCAATACTCGCCGAGCAGTCCACAGTACTCACCCTCGTCGCCACAGTATTCACCAAGCAGTCCGAGGGTAGGTTTTTGATTTTTTTGGCATTTTTGATAATTATTAGGTTGTTGAAATAGTTCTGTGCCCCTCAACCATAAAATTTCGTTTTTAAATGTGACTTGAAGCTAAATCACCCATTTTCTTTTCAGTATTCACCATCCTCGCCTCAATACAGTCCATCTTCGCCACAGTACTCACCATCCAGCCCTCAATACTCTCCATCATCACCACAGTACAGCCCATCGTCTCCACAATACAGTCCCAGCAGTCCACAATATTCACCATCCTCACCTCAATACTCTCCACCAAACGAGAAGAGGAGTTAAGTATGATGAATATCGGACGAAGGGGATGGTGTTAAACAGACAGTATATGATAAAGAAGACGATACTGGTACTGAACATTGGCTTTTGTATGGCAAAACTTCATTCGGTAAAAAAATTGGCCTTTTTCTGGAGAAAATTGGTCATTTTCTTGTCCACAATGACTGTTATCTTATCTACGGTGTCACCCACAACAACTATCATCCCATCCCAACAACTATTTTACCGTCTATTTTCCCTCAACTTGATGTGTATTATCTGATCTTGCAATTATTTGTGTTATTGTTGTCTAAAAACCATTTTCTGAGATGGTTGGCCATGAAGAAAAATAAAAAAAAAGTTTTTAAAATCATGGCTAGCCTAAATAAGTGAATCTAGGCCAGAAGTTAGCTGATTTTGTCTCATTTCTTATTCTTTTTTGTAATTTTAACAATTCTTTTTTTGAGGTCTATGTTAAGGTATAGCTATAAAAACTGAAGTTATATATTGAAAACGTCAAGTTATATCTTAAGGTTTTAAAGGTATAGCCTTAACATCGATATCAACCTCACAAAAGTGGAACGAATTTATTTTGGATAGTAATATTGTTTTTGGTGGTCTCGATTTCGTTAATTTCACTATTGGTATTGTAAAAGCAAAAAAAAATCAATGGGTTGCGTATACAGTTAATATATTTGTCATAAACTTAAATTATAATAACCGAAATCGGCTTTGAGTTGAAAAGGAAACGGATTTCCGTTACATTACTTTGAAGAAAATGTGGTATAAAGTTGAAAAAAGTAGTCTTTCCCCAAGCGGGATCGAACTTTTTTTGATTTTTGATGTTTTTAATTTTAATGGCTAAAAAATAATGAATTATGCCTAAAAATTAAATGAAAATTCAATTTATAGTTATATCTAGCTAAACAAGCAAAACTTATTGCCATTTTTCAATTTTTAGCCTAAAAACGGCAAAGTTATAAAAAATGTCACCTAAAACAATGTAACTCCAAATTCATACCCAAAATTCCAGGCAAAATGGCTGAATTAGCGGCAAAACGTGCCGAACAACTTGAACTTCAACTTTTCGGATCTGTAGCCAAATCTGACTCCGAATCCGAGCCAGAATCCGATCGATCCGGAAGCTCAGATGACGAGGAAGAAGAACGACCGAAAAAGCGAGCCAAAAAGGAAAAAACGAAGAAAGAATTGCCAAAAGAAGAAAAGAAGGACACTGAGTGCGTGTGGAACGATGAGGACGACGAAGATATTGCGTTGAGCACGGCGTTCATCAGAGAAAATGCACCAGGATTGTTGACGGGGAAAGACTTGACTCAAAAGGAGAAATTGGAGGTAATATTGAAATTTTTGAGTTTTTGTTGGAAGTTTAGGTAATAATGAAGGGAGATAAAAAGAATATGAACGAAGAAGGGTCTAAAATCATGTTTTGAAAAAATTTTTTTGAAAACTGCACTGTGCAATCATAAAATTTTGAATTTTGCACTGAGCAGAGCAATTTTTACAAATTTTTTTTGAATAATAAGAAAATAGATCAAAAATATTAACTTTTTTAAAGAATAATGAACATGTTTTTTAGAAATACTCATCAGAGATCCGTGATCAATTTATAGAGCGTGCAAAGCTTGGTCAGAAGCCGGAATGGTTGTTGAAGGCCGAAGAAGAAGCCACGAAGGAAGATGAAGATTCGGATGATGATGAAGCTCTTCAAGGTCTTTTTGGTCTTCAGAAAACGGCTTCGAAATACGTTACAAAATCTGCTACCTTACCGAGGACATACCTTCAGTGTACTAAGCTTTTGGACCCTACAACTGCTAGTAGGAGAGATGTAAGGGGATTGTGTTAGGTTGTTCAAATAATTCTGCGCTCTCTTTCAACGCAGATTTTTTTTGGGGGAGAGGCTCAGAATTATTTGAACAACTTATAATTGAAAATTTATATTTTTAGGAGAAATTTTGCTATTTTTAGCCTTAAAAGTTCTATTTTAGTCTATTATTCAGCTTTTGGTCCTTGTTTTAGCAAAGAACACCTTATTTTAGTATACATATTTATCAAAGTTTTTATGTGTTAAAAACAATTTTTGGCATTTTTAGGGTAAAAAGCTAAAATCCGTTCTATTCCACCCAACAGAACCAGTACTTGTGACAGCTAATACATGTGGTAATGTTCAATTATACCGAGTGGCCAGATCAGTAAAGGATCTTCAGAAACCGGCTGACAATCCATTTTTGCAAGAATTCAAAGTTAAGGGATTGAATGTGGATTCAATTGGCTTCTATGACGATGGTACTGCTTTGTTCTTGAGTTCGAACCGAAATGTGGGTTAATATTATTTAAATTAATAGATTTTTAAAGGCTTTGGTTTGAATTGCTGTTTGTTTTTAAACAACGAAAAGTGTATCTGTTGATTAAAAATGATTTTTTATTGTTTTAGGAGTTCTTCTATCAATATAATCTAATGGATGGGCATGTTGATCAACATTTATATCCCAAAAGTGAGTTTTTAAAATTTTTTGTTTGAAAATTTATTTTTTTAATGGTAAATGGTATAGAACGGTGCTTAACGTTAATTTTATCTAAAATTGTAGGTAGAAAGATCAATTTGATAGTCAGTAGTTTTTTTTTTGAATTTAATTTTAATTTTTTAAATTTTTATGAAATTTTAAACGAAGGTTGAGTAGATGGGCATGAAAGGGATTATTTTGAATTTTTTTAATTCAAAAATATTTTTCTAGATCTCCAAAGAGAATGGAAGACCGGCCTTCGATCTCGCCTCTCCTCCGACGGCGAAGCCGTCGCCTTCCTCGGCCAAAACGGCGAACTCTACGTCTTCCACAGAGCAACCATGGAGCATTTGCACACCTTTATGGCATCCTCACGACTAGCCGATGCCACTTTCTCCCCAGTCGACCGGAACACAATAATCGGCGTCACAGAGACGGGGCAAGGCTACATCTGGAATCTAAAGGCGAAAGGAGAACAAAAAGTATTTACGGATCAGGGTGCGGTCAGATGTAAAACCATGAAAATCAGCGAAAATGGACAGTTCTTGGCGATAGGACAAAACACAGGCATTGTCAATGTATATGAGATGAAGACGGTGAAGGCTGAAGAGGAGCCGAAGCCGCTGTATACGTTGACTAACTTGACTACTGCAGTTACCTTCTTGAATTTCAATTTGGATTCACAAATGTTGGCTTTTGGGTCGGATGAAAAGGTAGGTATGGAGAGGTTATTCATAGGTTTTGGGGAGGGGTGGGGGATTCAAGGCCGGGGAGAGGATTTATGGCTATTTTTTGGTTTTTTGCAAATTTTAAAAGATTAGGATTTAATTTTTTTAATTTGAACAAAAAAAAACATTTCAAAAAATGTAAAATATGTCATTAATTTTCAAAAAATGAAATAAAATTTATATTCCAACGTTTTTTTACCTAAATCTACAAAAATTAATACTTTATCAAATTTACGTCATCTTTTTTCAGCCAATGCACTACAGAATAGCCCATCTTCAATCAGGCACGGTTTTTAAGAATTTTCCACCGAAAAATGAAATGTTGTCGAAGGATGTCATCACTTCGGCCTCATTCTCACCACATTCAGGCTTCGTAGCGTTCGGAACTATGTCCGGCGGTGTGAGGCTCTACAGACTCAATTACTTTGATATATACTAGAAATTTTTAAAAATCTTGTTGAATTTTATTATTGTTGTTGTTGACTTTTTATTGTTACTAAAGGTTTATTGAGAATAAAATGGCAGAAATTGTTATACTTTACAATTCTTTACCTAACTTTTGGCCTAGTTTGATGAAAAGGATTAAAAATCTATTAAATACACCTAAAGTAAGACATAACAGGCCTAAATGACCGTCTGTTCCCAACGTTTCAACGTCAACCCGCTTTTTTGTTGTATTGGAGTTGTGATTGGCGTTATCAATCGTCTCGTGTGTCTGAAACAATAACGCTTTTAATCGGACCATCGGCACGTGGGGCAATAAATTCTTCCCGCTACGACCGTATATAACTGTAGGTTTCGAAACGAACGTGATCTTATGGTGGATTGTAGGCAGAGGTGCCATTACTATAGATTTTTTAGTGAAGGGGAGGGTAACTATGTAAGATATGGGAAAGTAGACCAGGGTAGGGGAGACTAGGTATGATAGGCAAGATAGGGTACGGCATGGCAGAGTAGGGACTTTTGAGCACAATTTTGATCAAGCCATGTTTAGGGGGAAGCAGAGAAGAGAAGAAGATATTGATAGGTTTTGGGGAAAGGTACGGTACCAACCTTTTTTCGTTTAGATACTAAAATATCCCTATATAATAATATTAAAGTACATTTCAATATTTTATATCTGAATTTCTTTATCGTAACATAATCAATCAAAATATACATGACTATAATCATCGGCGAAATTTCTAGAATCATCTGAACATTGCCATTGGTTTACGCGTATCACTTATCAATCATCGAGTTCAAACTATACTGAAGAGTTTGTTACCAAACTTATTTTTAAACATATTTTTTTGCTACAATATATACTATATTATCAACATCTTCAATCTGTTAATGATGTTTTGCAAGTTTTTGGCCAAATCTAAAGCAATGTTCATTCATCGTGAACTTTTCAAAAAATAGCCCTAGCCCAAGTCTCGTGCTAGCTCAGCCTGTTCTTATTATAACTCCTCAAAAAGTATAACAAGATCAATCAAAGCAAACAGTTTATTCCTTTTTGCCTGCATATTTCGAGTAGATTTCGTCGACCTTCTTGATGGCTGGATCTACAACGTTTTCGTACATCTTCAGGGCACCACCCGTCTGAGGGGCTGACAACCAGACCAGGAACAGGGCCTGAAAGTATGAAATTACATCAAGCACAATATCAACAAAAGCTTTTTAAAGCTTATTACAATAAGAAATGGAAATTTCCACTCTTTACGTATGATAAAAAACAAAATCTCACCTTGACCAACCAGTAGATGGGGAACCACGAGCAAATCTTTTCGGCAAAGAAGTCGACCAACGAGAACGCGGCGAAGCAGGTCCAGTAGATGAGCCATTGAGTGTCGTCGTCCTTCTGAGTGCTGCGAATCGCGTACACCGAAGCGTAGGCGGGGTATGCAAAGCCGATAAAGTTACAAACCAGCTGAGCCAGGCTTCCCACAATCAAGTACAGACCCAACGCTCCCAACACGCCGTAGGCGAACTGAAGTTCAAAATGTTATGAAAATATGTGAAAGATACATTCTGATATACGTGATATTGATAACAACTTTCAATACTTATTCACCTACCTTTTCTCTCTTGACGCCAGTCTGTTCCTCCACCTTACCCATGACCGTGGTGATCAAAGGGAACTTGCCAGTGTCATAGAGTGCCTTCTTGATTTCGGCATCAATGTCAGTCAGAGACTGAACTTTGCCGGCAGGAGCGCCATTGGCGACGGACGGCGGTTCCGCCGTGGTGGGTTTGGCTTCACGCTTTGACATTAGTGCTAGCTACTTCTGATAGAGAAAAGTCGACCACACCTCAACGACAACTTGACTGAAATGGATTTTTGAAATGGTTTGAAAAATTTCTTGGCCTTTCATCATTCTTTTGGTATTTGCGAAAATTTGCATAATGTTATACTTGATCAAAAAACTGTTTTCTTAGTGTTCAAACCCTTTTTTCTATTATTATCCTTTTGAATAACTTGTTTCTAGGTTTAAAAATAGTAAAATATCATGTTGAAAATGTCATTTACACCAGCAGTCCTCAAGACAATCCACAAAGGAGTTTTAGGTAACAACCACATCCCCAACATGTTGCTTTAGCTATTTTTCTCCTAAAAACACAAAGAAAAACGTAAAATACTTACCAATTCTTGTCCGGTTTTCGGCGCTTTAACTGCTCAGTATCCTAAGCAATCAGCTGGCACGATAAATCGCTGAAATATTATCCATAATGAAGTTGAAGAACCGTTTTTCGCGAAAACCAACAAGCTTCGTTGCTCAAGCTTTCACAATTTGAAAAATGGATTGAGAAGGCAAATAAGGTGAAAGATTAGATATATTAGACAATATTGAACAGTAAAACGACATGAAAAACTTCTTTCAACAATAGGAAATCAAGAAATTTACAAAAAAACCAAAGACAACGACAAGAAAAACGAAATTGAACGAATTCTACTGGCTAGACCAGAAGTCTCCAACAATACACCGATGGTGAAAACCGTGTATAAAGAGACCACAACAAAATCAAACAATATAACATCAAATAAAGGCAAAATAATTGGCGAGAAAATGGAAAAATCCGACAAAAATGTGAAATTCAGTCAGTTTATTCCTTTTTTGTTGCATATTTCGCGTATATTTCGTCGATCTTCTTGATTGCCGGATCCACGTAGTCTTCGTACATTCTGAGAGCACCACCAGTTTGAGGAGCTGACAACCAGATGAGGAAGATGGTCTGAAATATTTATTTAGATTATGGATAATATAACTTGAATAATTGAATTGCGTTGACGTAAAAGGGGTTTTCCGACAAAATTCTTGATTGGAAAACGTTCTTCTGAAGTTTTTAGATTGAAAACTGTTTAGCTAGACCTTGTTTTAGTTTCAAAATTCAAGAAGACTTGGTGTTTTAATCCATAGCACCAAGGCTGTTAACTCACCTTGACCAACCAATAGATGGGGAACCACGAGCAAATCTTTTCGGCAAAGAAGTCGATCAACGAAAAGAAGGCAAAGCAGGTCCAGTAGATTAGCCATTGAGTGTCGTCGTCCTTCCGAGTGCTGCGAATCGCGTACACCGAGGCGTAGGCTGGGTAGGCGAAGCCGATGAAGTTACAAACCAGCTGGGCCAGGTTTCCTACGATCAGGTACAGACCCAACGCTCCCAACACGCCGTAGGCGAACTGAAATTAAAGGCTTTATACTGCTTTTATTATATTCACTTCAAATTCTATCATCTTCATACCTATTCATGCCATTTTAATAACATCTTCAACTATTAATACCTATTAACTTACCTTCTCCCTCTTGACTCCAGTCTGTTCCTCCACTCTGCTGAACACCATGCAGGTGAGAGGCCATTTGGCCGAGTCGTAGAGCGCCTTCTTCAATTCACCGTCGACATCACTCAACGAGTTGATTTGAGCGGTCGAACCGCCTGAGGCAGCTGGGGCAGCAGCCGGAGGTTTGGCGTCACTCATCAGTCAGTGGAGTTAGTGTGGAAATCGACCGCACGCCGACTTCGAATGGTCAAAGACGAGATTTTCTGCTCTTTTTTGAAATTTTAAATAAAAAAAAATATTTAAATTTTTTAAAAATTTTTTTACTTTTTAAACTTTTTCTTAATTTTTGGTTTTTTATGGTTATAAAATTACAGTAACCTTTTATTATAGTCAAAAATCAATATCGTTCCAGCAGCTGTACCAGAAAATTGAAAAATTAAATATTAAAAAAGTTTTGTCGTTTTTCACCGTACAAACATATGTAAATTGACGGCAAAACTTTTATAATCACATTGTACTTCATACTATGTTCATCACTTTACAATAACTAGTATTTTCAACATATTTTTTACTTTATTACAAGACAGTGCTTCTACCTTTACTTTACTTTTTTACCAGACAATACTTGTACCCTTACTTTACAATAACATTCGTGTTTACCTTTGTACTTTAACTTTGTTTGTTTTCTTGTAATCATAATAATTAGCGTTATCACCTATTATATCAAGGAAACGTTCTTGTGCATCGTTATCACTGATTAATTGTGCAGGTTTAAAGGGCAAAAAGCCTATAAAACCCGACTGTACAGGTACAATATCTACAGACGGTTTAAGAATTTAAAAAGTTGTTTTTCATAAGGTTACGGTATTTTAATTACAGGTATAGATAACTGGTTTGGGTTGGTTGTAAGATATAGGATTACGGCTAAAGCATGGAGAACGAGTCGGGCCCATTTTTTAGGCCGGGCTTGAGTGTTAGGGCCGGACTGACCTCTCGTTTCCCATGCCTAGTTAGGGCTATGGGCAACGCCTCTGGTCTAGGGTTCTGGGCTAGGGCACTGGGCTAGGGCTCTGGAGAAGGGGACTGGGCTAGGGCTCTGGGGCTAGGACTCTGGGGCTAGGGCTTGGACTATTGCTATGACTTGGACTAGGGTTCAATTTCAATTGATTTTATATTAAAAATACTATGATATGTTTATGTCTACTGTGTCAAACATATTATAGAAATCGCTTTTACCTAGTTGTCATAAAAAAAGTTTTTATCACATTTATCACCTTTGTAAAATCAAACATTTTCTACTGCAAAATGACTTTTAAAGATTCCGGAATCGAGTGTAATTTAGCTTTACTACGAAAAACGATCACTGATATAAGTATAATGAAATATAATAGTATATCAGTGATACGTTTCATGATAAATATAGAGTATATCAGTGATATTTATAATATTTAATACCACTGATATATACCATTATAAATTTTGTGTACACTATTAATCTCTTTCATCATAACTGATATTTAGTGATATCTATCAATAAGTGATTAGAAGGATCGTTGTGAAATCTGTGTTTGAAGAGCAAAGAACCACCTCGATGTTATCAAACCGTTTATTACTCTCACAGTTTGGAACCAAACTCGAGTGTTATTTTTATTGGATTACAACCAATGTGAATTTGTTTATGTTTCTTTGAAACATTAACTTTTTTAACTTTAAAGGTACGTATTTGATGTATTTGTTGAGTGTTTTGTGAAAAACTTGGAGTTGGCTATTTTATTGCAAATAGACCTGAAAAAGGGACAACTACACCTTGTCTACCCTCGGGCCGAAGGAGGGGAAGGAATGGGACCGGGCAGGAAAGTGTGGGCTTGTGAGTTGGGGCCCAAACCAAAGCTCCAGATGCCCAGCTTAAGTGTTTTGCCAACAAAAGGCTTGACTGGCAAAAAATGTAAAACCAATCTGCCGGGCCTGCCTACGTGAGTCCGAGCGCCTCGGGTCAAAAATAAGGCATCTTTACAGGTCTAACACAATCAAAAAGTTCAGGAAGTGTCTTATGAGTTTCTTAGTCACATATCAAGCAACACTGTCTTATACTAACTATAATAAAATAAGGAATATAAATGTCTCAAGGTAGCAATAATAACGTTATGAACCAGTGGATACTCTAGGTAATCTCAACTTTAAGTCAAAGAGGTTAAAAGCTAGGTGCAAGTGTTCTTACTCTTTATGTTGCGTTTTAATGAGATGGTTACTTCTGGGTATCACAAGTGAATTGTCACTTGTTAGACTGCAGCTCATTATTCTTTTAATGTTACAAACGATTTGTCGCGTAATATAAGTGACAATTGTATAATAAGTCTTTAAGTTGTCACTGGGTGGAGCTTGATTGTTGAAAGGTTTTTTCAAGTCTGTTTTATTAATGTATGTTATTGATGCTTAACGCATTGTCATTAGTTGTTTCTAGTATTCTTTTTTACTATTATACTTGGTTTTGGTTTATGAAACAGAGAAAATTAAACCGTATTTTACATTAGAATTCCTATGATAGATCCGTCGCGAAAGATTTTGTTTATCTATTATATGATGGGAAGGGGAAGGAGGAATTAGAAGTCAACATTTTTTTTGGTTTAGAGGTATTGGCTATGTAATTTATACAAACAGAACCAAATTTTCAAAAAACAATTTTCAAACTTATGGACTTTTTTACATTCACGTCTATTCACTCCCCTTCCCTTTCCTCCTAGCTACGTCTGATGTCTCACTGTATATTCTGTATACTATAGTAATATTTCAATCACAGCTGAAGACGTTTCAGTCATGTTTGGGATGGCTTAGTCACGTTTCCCATGTGTTAACGCCTCGTGGTGTCTCGTGTGTGCTCAATGATTTGTCGTTATCATTGTCTACATTACGACTAGTGTTAGGGGATTTCTGTCACAGCAAGGGTTTACTTATCTTTGACAATCACAGCGTGGCTCTACTGTACTTTGGATTTTTTGAAAATGTGACTAAACAATTTTTGTATAAAGTACTAGGATAAGGTAGAGTAGGGTAAAGTAGGGTACGATAGAGTAAGGTAGGATAAAGTAGGGTAGTGTCGAATTTTTGTTCAAAAACTGGTTTACTCAGCTTATAGTGTAATAAGACAATTTACAAGAAAAGTATTGTAATATTACACTTTCCTTTATTGTAGTTAGAAAAAAGGTGTAACTGAAACATTTACTGACTGTCTGACTGATGATGTGAATAAAATTCAGTGGAAGTTTGATAAATGAAACTTGTGATTACAAAACTTACTTTAAACTCTCTCATTTATCTTACTGTTAAAAGCTGCAATGAGGCTACATATAACAGTAAATTGTTTCTAAAGGGTTCATCTTTTTTATTTAAGGCTTGTCAATGTTAAAATCTAAATAAAAAATTATAGTTACAGCAGTAGAATCTTAATTACAGTAGTATTTTGACTTTATTATATATAGGTCTTGTATTATCTTTGTAATATTTGCCTTGTCTATCTATACCTTTTAATTTTCATTGTATTGCTGTTCACATTTTTGAAAAATGAATCAATTTTGAAATGACTAATCTATTTTTATCACGCATTTTAATGTTTTGAATCAGTTTATATAAAAAATGTTGTTGTCTCCTTCCTACGTACTTAAACTTCAAAGTTTTGTCATACTTTTCGTTTTTTAACCAATTTTTTTATGTTTTTTGGAATTTTTCTAGACAGCTGGTTTTTTAAAAACTTTAAACCAAAACCCATATTTTTTAAAATGAGCTCAGATTTTTAGCCTAGAGCCTTAGCTCAGAGCCCTAGCCCAGACCTGCAAAGTGGCTGGGCCTTGGTTTATCCTTGGCCCGGGCCTTGATTTTCAAGCCCGACTCGGCCCTTTCTCCGTGTCTACCCCTGCCCCTTTCAAATTTGCTTTGGCCCTAATAGTGGCCTCCTTTCAAGGCTAGTTGGAACAATACCTTTAACCGTACCTTTGTAGTAGCACAATGCCTTGTTTTACCACCCCTCTGCAGAACAATAATATTATTATTCTGTATTATTAGTTATGTTGTATTCGAAATAATCTGTTCCTTCTCCACTGATAACGGGGGTTTATCGATTTTCCCCGAGACTAATCGAATCGTTTTTCAGTTTATGTCGGTATTCTCTCCCCCAAACTCTTTTTTTCTTTCGAAATGTTTTTTCGAGCAAAGTCCACCATGTTGTTGTACCTTTTCTTGTTTTGTATTCGGTCGTAAAGAATATTTTGGTGTTGTTTGGGTTTATATTTGTTCCGTTTTGAGTTTTAAAAGCACTTTCGATTAGTTTTTGGAATGTGGTTGGAATTTCAGAGCCTGCGGGGAAATTTTAAAGCAAATTTTAACGCTTTTTGAAGGTTTGGGTTAATGTTTAAAGATTTTTTCGCCTTTGAGAGTAGATTTAAACATTTTCTTGGCTTTTGGGGTAGGCTTAATTTTTTTTGGCTTTGGAGATAGAGTAGAATATTTTCTTGGTTTTGAGCTAGATTTAAACATTTTTTTGGTTTTGGGGGTAGATTTAAAGCTTTTCTTAGCTTTGGAGGTAGCTATAAGAATTTTCTTGGTCTTGGTGTAGACTTAAACATTTTTTTGGCTTTGGGATAGAGTTAAACATTTTATGAGCTTTGGAGGTAGCTATATAAATTTTATTGGACTTGGGGTAGATTTAAACATTTTCTGGGCATATAAAGATTTTAGGTAACAATCAGCATTTTTTAATCTTTTTTTTGAATTTTGGAAATTTTTAAAAATGTTATGCCTTGGAGAGTAAAATTTAATTTTTTTGTTTTAAAATTGGTTTGAAAAAATATTTTAGATAACAAAAATTTAATTTTAGGTAATAAAATCAATTTTTAAATATTTTTTTATTTTAAAAAATTTTTGGAACGTTTTCCCCCTTTTTGTAAAGAAAATTCCTGCATTTTTTGCAAAATTTTTATTTTTCTTTGAAATTTCAAAATTTTTATGAAATTCTTGTTTTTTCTATCTGTAAACAGAATCTGGCACATGGCCAGAGGATTTCTTTATTTTTTTGCAAAAAAACCTTGAAATTTGGCTTCGTTCTTTTAAAAATACAGTATAACGTAGCTTACTGTAATGTTATATGGCTTATTGTAGTGTAACATGGCCTATATAGATGATGGATTCATCTCTATGCATCCTCTTCCCTAGCGATGATATTGGGCTTATTGTACCATTAAGTTGTCTTTTGTACTATTAACTTGCTAATTGTAATATAAACTTGCCTATTATAATATCAACTTGCCTACTATAATATTATGCACCTGAACTATAATACTATACAAGGTTGCTGCTGATTTCTGTCCGAAAACCGTGCGATTTGCCAATAGTTTTTGCGTAAAAAACATATTTTTGTTATTATAGACAAAAGATGTTTGATATTGTCAATTAACCTCGGTGTTTGGTCGATTAAAAGGTCTTCATAACGGTCAAAATGGTGTTTTTGATAAGTTTTGGGTACATTAGTTACAAAATAACTGAATGGAATGCTTTTCTTGGTTATTAAAATGTCTTGTATAGATATTTTGTTGAATAGTTTACTGAAAGTGGCTTTAAACTTGAATTTTTGGCTTGCACGGTGCAAAAAGTTAAGGGTTATAGACTGCACCGTGCAAAGTGTTTTGAAATGGTATACCTTTCGTAAAACGATTTACAAATATTATTATGTATATTATAAATGAAAAATAACCTGTGTCAACAGTCTGGAAAGTTTTTGGCCAATTTGCACTGCTCACTTTTTAAAAATTTCGAATTTAAAAAACTGACCGTGCAGATAATTCGCGACCTTTTCGAACGTGTGTCAATGTCAATATCGTGAGTATATTTTCAAAAAATACCGTAAGAAGACTAAGATCATTTCAGAAATCGATGTTCTAAAATGGTCGTCGACGTAGGATACGCACCAACTGGCCTACCGTACACCAAGCCCAGAAGCCCTGTCATAATGAAGTCGACCAAGTCTCGAGGCATTATGCATTCGGTGTTCGAACGTGGTACCGTAAGACTGATCTGCGATGATGATTTCAGAAAGTTTAGGGTAATTTTTATCGTTTTCTTTGTTTTTTACATTTTTGAATTTCCTTTGTTACCTAAACGTCCAGTGCAATATAAATCAATTTTATTAGCCTAAAACAATATAAAATGACTATAACTTAAAAAAATAGATCTAAAATAACACTAAAATCTTCAGGGAGTCCTAATCAATGAATACGAAGACTCCTTCGCCCTGTACGGTGTTATCAGAGGCTCAGAAGAACCATCGACTAGTCAAGAGTGTCCCATGAACATCACCATTGTTGATTGTGAGACTGCGGACAAGTACGAGTTGTTGAATGTGAATGTCAAATTGGAAGTCTTTCAACATCCAGTCACGCTGGCCGAACATACTGTGATCAAGATCGACCATCCGGCTTTGAAATTCGAAACTACAGAAGTTTTGATCGGAAACAAGTAAGGATTCTTGAGTTTTGAGGGCTTATAGACGTTGGTCTTTGAGTTTAATGTGTCGTATATGATAGTGTGTGGGTTAAGCTAGATTGATATAGCTGGGTCTTGCCATTACATCTAAAATTGGGCTAAAACACTATTTTTTAAATAAAAATTGCGATAACACCATTACTTTCAGAGCCGACGTCGCGATTCACCGCTACATTGATCCGAAGTACTCGGAAGCCGACAAAAAGGTACTAGTCGGCCAAATGGTACTCAAAGTTGTGGCTCAAGAGCGCACAGCACCAACCAGCAGACGTCTTTCCGAATGCATCTCACCCAGCTGCACGGAGGAGGTGATCGAACAAACCAATGACTTTCTTGCCTAGGTTACTGCAGTATACTGTCACAGTAACTTAGCTAAAGTGTTTATTGTTACAACAGTAATTTCGCTTTGTTATTACAGTAATTTGATGTTTAATTCGCACTGTTATCGCAGTAATATCACTGTTTTACAGTATTCTCTTTGCCATCGCTTCTCTGGTTGTTTATTTTATGTGGATCAACTAAAAATGTCATTTTTTATGGCCGTTTTTAAAGTCATTTGATTATTAAAGGCGTTGAAGAAGATGATATTGTTATTGGTCCACCTAATAGCTAATTACTCTCAATTTCCTACATTTTGTTTATCATTTGTTAATAAAATTGTATTTTATTTTTCATATTTCTCTTTATTTTTTTTTATTTCAGTATATTTTAAAACGTTGATTTTGAGGTTGTATATTATGAAGAATAAAGTTTTCCTTAAGCTAGTACATGTTAATGATGAATAAAACGGTTTTAGGCCAATAAAAATTAAAAGATACCACTAGGATCCGAACTAGGAATGTTATAAATTGAAATATGTAAAATGAATTACCAAATAAAATTTAATAAGTTTTATTTTAAGGCTTATAAACCAGCCCTTTACTCGAAATTAAGAAAATAATGAGAAAGTTTATATTACTATAAAAAATATGATAAAAACCATTGCCAAAATAATCCTGTTATATAAAGATTTATTCATCAACTAATTCGACTGGTAAAACATAAATCTACTTCTATTCCAAGCTTTGGCGTTGGGATTGGGCCTTCTTCTTGGCGTCACGTTGAGCTACGTACTCCTTCTCTCTGAAAAAGAACGATATTAGGCTTTAAAATACAACTATCTTCCTGTTTCATAAAAGCTTAACCCTTAAATTTGTCAAAGAAATCAGTTATAGTTCATCTCTGCTGTTCATAGGGGTGAGAAACGGGCCGTCTAGGCCCGGCCCTACGATCGGGCCGGCTTTGAGCTAAAATTGAAACGGGCCGGGCCCAAAGGTTAGGCCCGGCCCGCGGGCCGGGCTTGAAAATTGGGCCCGGGCCCGAAAAAAATTTTTTTTTAATTTTTAAAAATTTTTTATTTTAATCCCCGTTGATGTTTTTTGATTTTATTGGGTACCATGATACATAAATGATCTAAAAGAACAATGCAAAGCCAAATTTCCGTTTATTTTTTAAGTTTTAAAATTTTTTTAAAAACGGGCCGGGCCGGGCCTAGAAATTTTCTGACCGGGCCGGCCTGAGAGAAAATTGAAAACGGGCCGGGCCTAAACGTTGGGCCTGGGCCGGGCCTTAAAAGTGGGCCCGGCCCGGCCCTTTTCTCACCCCTAGCTGTTCATCAAAACTAATGTATGGGCTATATTATCCATAAATTTGAAAATAATAAACTTTTGATAAAACCGCAAAAAAAACTTAACTGTTCCTAAACCTTTCAAACACCATAAATCTGATAAACTTACTCTTGTTGAACCTCAGCAATCAATTGATCCAAAGTTTTGCCCTCAAGAACAGTTTGAACCGAGCTCTCGACGTTTGCCTTCTCAAACTGAACGTCCAATTTGCCAACAACATCAGCACTAGCCAATTTGTACTTCTGGGCAAGCTTGTTCAACTGCTCATCCAATTGTTTCTTGATTTCAGGCGAAGAGTTAACCAACGAACCTCCGGCAGCCCTATAACAATGTCAAAGTTTATAAAACGAATTTATCCAGTAATCTTTAAAATTTACGTTTATGAAAATAAAGCCATACCTAAAAACAAAGCTAAAAAATAAGAAAAGTTACTTTTGCTTAGCAGCCAAATCCTTAATTTGCTTCAAAAAGGTTTGAGTGATCAAATCTGAAGCTCCAACACGGCTAGACATGCTCAAGGAGCGTTGAGAAACGAGTCCGAGACGGCCGATCATATTGGGACTAAAATTACGGGCAAAATGAACACTTTTCATTAAAAACTTGCTCATAATAACGTACAACAAAGTCGCGACAATGTAAATAATCAAAAATAATATTGTAAATATACAATATTGTTAAAATAACCTCAATTTATGTTAAAATCAAAAAGAAAAGCGAAAAAATGAACCCAAAGGCTGAATGAACGAAGTATCACAAAAATAGCGAAGTGTCATTATTGACTTTAAAAAATATTTTATTTTTATTTTTTACTGAATATTGATAACATACATCTTTTAGTGTTAACTAACAACTTCAGTAGGATAAAACAGTAAAGTTATGTGGTTTGCGAGATTATTAGCATCAGGTCCTGTTGGTAAGTTTTTTTGTTGTTGTTGTTGCTTTAGATTCGGTCGCTCAATGGTCTTTACTCAAAGAAAGACACTTGTGTTTCATTGCCGCGCAATGTTTTGAGAAACTTGGACGCTGTTACTTTAACACAAGTGCTTTTTTTCGTTTTGGACAGCTGGCTAATGTGAATGTTTCGGTGATATTTATGTCGGACTGTTTATATCGCTATTTGACTATAAAAACAAAACGCATCAATCGTGTTGCGAAGAAGAATTTATTTTTTGGTTCTTATAAAGAAAAAGCTAGAATTATTTTATTGCTTTAATCGTAGAACGCTTTGTTCCGCGTGTTTGGAAAAGGATAAGATTACTATTTAGCTTTTAGGTATAGCTAGCTTTAAAACTCTCCTTTTATGGTTGCCTCAATATATATTGAAGTAGATCGCTTCAAATCGATAGCTTAATGTCGGCTTTGATTTATATGAGTTTTGGCTATAATCTAGAAGGAGTTTTAAGCTATAAATTTTAGCTCAACGATATGTTCGTCTTCTGACCCTTCCTATAGCCATTGTCGTAGGCACGATTGGTTATGCGATTGAATCAAGGGTTTCAACGCCAAAGAAGATCGATTATTTGGAGGAATCTGTTGTGGACAGGAGGTTACGACGACAGTTGGGAATATCTGAGGGCGATATTACACTAGATCGACAGAAATTGGCGCCGGAAACGTTGAAAATCAACAGATCATGATGTCTGTCGAAGAGATTATGGAAATTTAGGTTTTTTATATGATATCAATTATATTTGATGTTTTTGATTATAGATTATGGCGGTTTAGGTTATGTTTTACAAGTTATCAATGGATTTGATATTTTTGGGTATTAATTTTATTTTGGTACTTTTTGAGAAATTTTTAAGTAAAATACGTGTAATTTATTGGACTTTGTTTTATTTTTAAGTAGAATGTTGTATATTATTGTTATTTTTGGTTTTATAAACTTAAAAAATTCTTTGTTATTGCTATCTTATACGGTTTTATATTACCCTTGGATATCTAATGTTTACCGAAATTTTTTAAATTTTAAATGTTTAAAAGAATATCGTTTAAATTATTAACAAAATAAAAAAAAAATATTCAGAGTCTTAAATTACCTATTTTTTGTTGTCTTAAATACGTTTCTTTATATTTATCGAGATTTTGTCGTGCTCAGTTTTGATGAAAATTTTACTTTTTCTATGTTGCTATGCATAAAACTGTCAATTTAGGGTACGATGCAGGCTTCGGTTCACAAATATTGTACTAATCCCACATTCAGGGACAAAATCGAGCGTCATATCGAGAATATGATAGCTGACGACAACTTACCGTCTAAAAAGGCTATATACGTATGTTTTGGGATTTCTATGAATTGTTTGTACCTAAAATAACTTAAAATGGTATTCTGACAAAAAGTTATACTTAAAATGATGTGCTGACAAACAATTTATACCTAATTTTATGTTGTCAAAAATGATACTTAAAATGATATGCTGACAAGAAACATGAAGTATATTGGTATTAGGACAAACACTTTTTTTTAATTCCTAGACATACAATTTTTTATATTACATCCCAAAATAATATTTTCGAAAAATGTAGTTAAAAACAGAATTAATGTTAAAGACTATTTGAAATAAAAAAAAACTAAAAACGCCATGTTTTAGTACCGCAACATTGTGTGTCAACTAATAAAGGACCTGGGTGGTGAATATAACTATGTCCCTCAACGTGAAGTAGCCGATGGATTCCTGAAGAAAGCGAAACAAGATTCATTGACAAAAGTAAGTTTTTTTTTATAAATTTTAATAGATTTTGCACGGTGCAGTGGAAAAAAAGATTGCACTGTGCAGATTTTGAAAACAGTGGTTTGAAAAGTGCCTGACCTTTTTTTCTTATGATGACATTATAGGCTTCTGTAGACATATTCGGAATGAATTTCAACGCAGCAATAATGGAAATGAAGTTTGAGTTACTAATCCAGGGTTCAAATAATAACCGACAGGTCAAAATACAGTATCCTATTGAAGGTAAGGCGGTTTTTATGGTGAATAGTATAGTGAGAGCATTTCCAATTAATGTTGGTATAGCTACAATATTTTTTATGTGAATACTCGAGTTAGTATTGAAAAAAATTTTGTCGTTTTTTACATTGAACATAATGTACTTTGACTTTTTTCACGTATCGGTATTAAAAAAGAACGTATTTTACCTATTCTATTAGGTTTTTCATATAATTCTGTGCTCTCTGCGCCCCCCGAAAATTTTAGAGGGGCACATAATTACTTGAACAACCTAACACTTTGAAAATTAAAAAATAGGTAATAAAGCACTTTTTCAGCTCTACTAGACTTCCATTACCACTTCATAGTGGCCATAAATGAACAACTTTCCAAACCGAAGCCAGAACCAATACCGGTCGCATTCAAGCCCCCGCCGGCACAAAAGAAGCCCCCACCACCGAAGCAGGTACAACAAGAACCACTTTCATCTGATGACGACTTTGATTTCCCAAATTTCGCAAATCCAAATGCTATTCACGCGTCGGTACAACACAGTGAAAAGATTGCCACTTTTAGTGATCACTACTATAGGAAGCCGATCCAAGAGCCGGATTATTATGTCAAGGTGGAGATGTTACAGGTAAGACATCTTGTAGAAGAGACAGTATACTATAAAATGTCAAAAACTCTTGTTATGATGACATAATTCCTCAAACTTATAAAAGTGATGTTATTATTGTCCAAAATTTATAAAAAATAATGACAAAATCCCATTTCCAGTACTACAAGAACCCACTAATGGCAAAGCACGAGTTCGGCGCCGACCTAGAACAATGGAAGCAAACCGGCGTCTGTGATGGCCGAGTACCCGCTAGCCAAATAGGAATTGAACTAAAATACTCAGCCCACACGAACCGAGCGGCCAGAGAAGAAGCGAAGGCAAAGGCCATCAAAGAGTGGATCAAGAACGGTCGAAAAGGACCAAAACCGACGGCACGAATGGAACAACCACGCCAAAACCTAATGGGATTAGGCTTGGATAACTTTGGACAAGATGATGGACTAACTCCTGAGAATAGTGGACTAACTTGTGAGAATGATGGACTGAGTATGAATTCAGTGAATAATGGGCTGAATATGAATTCTGTGAATAATGGGTTCATTCAGAACCATATGAATGCAATCACGGATGATCGACCTTGTAGTAGTATTGCTGGTAAGGACAACACTCGGATATATAAGGATATATCATGTTTTTGGCTAAAATAATGTTGTGTTTGGCTAGCTTTAGATTTTAGTATTACGTGCCATTATTTTTGCATCATTTTATAATGATTTTTGTGTTAAAAAAGTCTTGTCGTTTTTTAGCGTTGCAGTACATGTAATTCCAAGATTTTTTGGCCCTTCAATATAAAAATAAAATTAGTAAAAGTTGCCGAAAAGCTCCAAAAAATGAACTGAAAACTTATGTATAACATCCCCTTTTTCAGACAGTGGAGTATTCAGTTGGAGTGGCAACTCAACCGGCACCTACAACACTCGCCGTCCTTCATCAGCAGCCAGCAATCAACTCTCACACGGACTCAGCACCATGACTCTGACCGAACCAAAACCGACAGTCGAATGGGACAGTGACGATGAGGAAGGCTTTGTCGTTCAACAAAAGCCCAAAGCTAAGCCTAAACCAACCCAAAAGAAGACAGCAGAAGTAGTGAAGCCAGTAGAAAGGCCGGTCAGAGATGGATGGCAGGTTTCGAATCGAAGGCAAGGCAAAAAGGCCTGGTCCTGATGTTAATGTAGAGAGATTGGAGGGTTTTGTAAAGGACACTGATTAGATGACATTATGATTCGGTAATGTTGTTGATCAGAAAGGTCTTCTTATGGTTATGGATCAGAAAAGGCTTGCTAATGTTGTTGGTTAGACGCCATCAGGATTTGATAATGTTAATGATCAGAAAGTCCTCGTCAAAATTATTGGTCAGATGCCAGGAGGATTTGTTAAGTTCTTTACCAATTTACAGATCTATTGTAGTAGTTATTGGTTAGATGAGAAAAAATATGTTAGAGTATTGATTATTGTTAGTATGTACATTTTGATTCCACTACGACATCTCAGGGATGCTATATTGTCTTTTTTCTTGAATTTTACAGCCAACGGAGAGAGTTTGGCACTGATAACATAAATTATGTGGACAAGGAAGATCAATGTTTGATTGTCTTAAAGTTGATCACACACCATATTGACTTCCATTTCTGGACCTAATTGATGTTATCAGCGTCAAAAAAATATTCTTGGCCCTGTTTTTACGAATTTTTTAACACTGCACCATAAGTGTACTATTTTAAACATGGTTTTTGTATATATTACTTTAAAAGAAACCCATAACTCTTTGTCCTACCCATTTATAATGTTGTTGATTTAAGTAAATTTTGAAAAAAAATAATAAATATTAAGTCAAATTGAAAAGTCATTATTGTTATATCAGCTTGAAAAATTGATGTTTAGAGCAACAAAACTTTAAATTAACTTATATATTGGCTGAAATGGAAAAATAACCTTTATATATGTAAAACAACAACAAATCAACAATAAAATACTAATATGAATGTAAAAATGGCCAAATTCAGCCCTTAGAAAACAACCTATAATACTATCCCTCTTTGTCGCAAATTGTGACTAAAAACCGTCAATTTTTTTAAAATTTGGACAAACGTGGTATAATATTGACCAAAAAGCTTTTTCATTCCTACAACTTCATCCCTACTCCTAAAACGGCCTAATCTTTGCCCGAGGAGCCTGAGCCCCTCCGGTCGACTCTGGTTTATAACGATTAACAACCTCAGCCGGCAAACTGTCTGTCTTGTACAAGAAACAGGAACAGTACTGGTTTCCTCTGAACAAACTGGTCTCCATTACCATTCGTTTCCCATTAACCCAGATATTACCCACCAAGAACACCTTGAACTGGTCCCAAGTCGTGGCAATTTGGTCTCGCTTGGCACCGAAATTATCGGCTAGTTTAATGTTCGACCGGTCGATTGGCATCCGCGTTTTGTAGAGGCCGAACCTGATGTAGGTCATCATGAATTTGTTGGGCTCTTGAAGGCTTTGGTAGATTCGGCATGGTCGTACGGAAAAGACGCGGAACACACTCAGTACGGAGATTGCTAAGCTCACAAAAAAGATGTACTTGAAGATCCACGCCTAAAATATTATGTTTTAGGTAGCTTTTGAACTAAAAAACACGACTATAATGTAATACTAGCCTCAAATTCGTCATAAAACAAAAAAATAACAAAACTAACCTCTTTTAAATCCTTCTTCATCTTCTTAAAACTTTTACTCTGTACTTCTCCATAGTTCTTGAGATCGTACACAGCTTTGACAATGCCAATCATCCCAAACAGTGTAAGAAACGTGAAAATAGAATGAAATCTGGAAATCGTGAGGTCATGGTAGATAAAATGCCATTTATTAGGATCGAGACCATCATGTTTGTGAGCCTTACGTATTCCATAGTCCGAAAATGACGTTTCACTCGGCTAAAATTGAAAAGTCAGACCTTCATGGCTAGTGTAACATAATAAGATCATAAAATTCGCCTTTGGTTAAAAAAGAATGCCTAAATTTAAAAAGAGAATATAGAAAACTTACAGATGCAATCTGGTGCTCAGCAAACAGGCGTATCCTTTCCCAAAAAGTGTATTTTTTGTCGAAATCCACGTCTTTCGATGCAACAGGTTCTTTGAAGCTAAAACAACATATAAAGTCATAAGGAAACACAGTAAAATAGCCAAATTAAAATTATGACAACACACTTCAGCAGAAAAACACAATAAAATATAAATCTTTAAGCGTAGCCTTTAAAGAACACTAAAATAGATCAACAAATATCTAAAATAGCTTACCCTCTTTTGGTTAGCTGAATAAGCACCCTTGGTTTTAATAATGCCAACCTCATTACAGTTATTTTATCGCATAATCTTAGAAAGTACAATAAACCCTAGTTTTACAAACATTTTTAGTTAAAATTAAAATTTAATGTGACATTTCGTCTTTACATTATGACACTTCGTCTAAATGCTACTAAAAACTCGACGCGTTTTCAATTTTTGAGTCAACTCTCCCTTAATTTACGAAATAATTATTAAAATACGGAAATTGTCGCTTTATTTTCTAGAAATAACTATTTATTGTAGTAAAATATTCTTATTGTTGTAAACGACTATGAAAATCAATTTGGAACAGTATAGGTTGTCCACAGATGACGAATTGCGGTTTGAAGTTGGAGCCGTCGAGGTTTTACTGGAATTGACGGAAGGAGATGCGGAAATGTTTGGAACACCTTTGATTCGATATAAGAAGTACCAAATTCCAGCAGGTATGTTATTTTATATTGTGTTTCAACGTTTAGATAACATTTTGTACTTTTGACGAATTTTCTACGAGGTTTATTATTAAACTTGTGATGGATAACCCAAGTTTTTGAAGATTTGAAGTAAAAACTGAACACTAACCTTTTAGGCTTTCGTGGAGCAGTTTATGCGATGAAATCAGCTGTAATAGAGATAGCCGGGCCATTGGAAAGTGCTTATACGGCGCATGCTGCTGTTCCGATGGTTCCGTATCGTAATGTACATGCTGGATTGAGGACGAAAAGGATACGAACTGCACCATATCAAACTGGGCCAAAAGTGTTGATTGCTGGTCCAAAAGATGTGGGAAAGTCTACACTTTGTAAATTGTTAGGAAATTACGCAGTTCGGACTGGGAATCAGGTTCTATACGTTGATTTAGATCCGGGACAGGTAGGAGTTGTGGTTAATATAATTTTTTGGATTTTTTGAGTGTTTTTTTTAATCATTTTTACATAAATGAAAAATAAGGTTTTGCTATAAAAATAGTGTAGTCGGGTTTAGAATTTAGTGTTTTAATGTGTATATTTTTAGAATATTGTGTTTCCTGGATGTTTATCAGTGATCAATGTCGAAAAGTTGTCTCATCCTTTATATGGCTTTGATACGGACAAACCATATGCTTTAAATGTGAGTCTTATTTGATTTTTTTAGTTTTAAATTTAGGACTTCAGAATTTTAAAACCGTTCACAATATTGTTACTAATGGTATTGTTTTAAAGATAGTTATAGTAAAATTTGCGTTTTTTTTAGTTTGGAAGCCTTAATCCATTGAAGAATCAGAAGCTGTATGACATTATGGTAGAGCACATTTCAGAAGTTGTAAACAAAAAGCTAAAAGCTATTGATAAGTTCAGAAAAGGAGGTGTTATTATTGACACTACTGCATATTCAAAGGGAGTTTAGTGAGTTACTACTTTTGTACATTATTATATATTTTGGAGCAATGAAATATAACTTTACAAGCTGAGTGTCTAAAGAATCACTTCTAATTGATATTATTTTAGCTACAAATCGATCCTCCGGGCCGCGGAGATATTTAACGTAGATTTGTTGATAGTATTGGACCATGAAAGGCTGTATGCTGATTTACAAAAGGATCTCAAGGGTAAACCGACAAAGATTATCCATTTACCAAAGTCTGGAGGGGTGGAAAGTAGGACGCCAGCTCAAGAAGCCGAAAGCCGACGAAATGTTATTCAAAAAGTAAGTTTTTACGTGATTTTTGTTTAAAAAAGGCAGGTTATTGATGTTAGTGGCTTAAACATATTTTACTTCCTGCGGGAACTTTATTTACAAAAATATTTTTTTAATCTAAAATTAATTTGCATTTTCAGTACTTTTACGGCACAAAAGCCCAGCCCTTCTACCCGCGGTCCTTCGAATTCGTCTACGATAAGCCCAAAGAGGAATGGGATCTAAAAGTAGCCAGAATTGGTGTAGATGCCCTCCCGTCATCATGTCTACCATATGGAATGGCTCCAGATGAACATCAAACCATGGTGGAACAAGTCAACTTTACCCCAGCTCTCAACCACAAGATTGTGGCGTTAACCGAGGATACAGGCTCATTAACATCAGCTATCATTAAGAAGAATGTCAGAGGGTTCGCATTGATTCAAGAAGTTGATACCCCGAACAAAGTGGTACAGGTACTGCTGGCCGAAGAGCCACCAATCAAGTACAACTTGGGAATATTGAGCGAAGTGGAGTTCATGGATGACATGCCTGGGAGAATGTGAATTGAGGTTGTCAAGGTGTTGACCCAAGTTGACAAATATTAAAACAAAGACATTTCAATGTGTTAAATGGACAGCATGGGTTATTTATTGTGTAATTGTAAAAATTTGTTGGTATATTAAGGTTAATGTTAATAAATTATGATTGATATCATTGTAGAATTTTTTATATTGTGTAAGTTCAGTTAGTACTTGTCTTCTTCATTAGATATGCTAATTTAAGGGTTCTTGTGCTTTTTTTATATAGTTTTTTATGTTTATTAGGTTGTTTAGATAATTCTGAGCTATTTCTGAAAGCAAATTTGCAGGTTTAGTGGCGCAGAATTCTTCGAACAACTTAATGCCAAGGTTTTTTTTCTAAATTTTGGCTCTTTTTAAAAAATAAAGCCATTTTTTGCTTTTTTTTATCAAAAAACATTAATAAATATTTTTTAAAGAAGCAGCTATAAAAAATATGTTCAGTGTTTATTACCAACAATTTACTATAATATTACTCTTTATTGCTTGGTTTTGTTGTCCTGAATCAAAGAAGCGCCCAAACCAATTGGCATGCTCTCCTCGCCATTCAGCTTGAAGCTACCGCCTGGGAACACGTTCTGGTTAACAACGGCGCTACATGTGTTCTCGGCAATACCATACTGCTTGACCTTGGGGTAGCCGACGAAGGGGCCGAAGCTACGGAAGTCGACAAAGTCACGAGAGGTCTCGGCACTGCTGCCGGCGCCCAGGACGTGCCAGTACCAGATGTCGGTGTTGGAGATGCTGCGCGAGTTGCCGGTGATCTCTTCGTAGTCGTACCAGTTGGTGTAGAGACCGACATTCACGTTGCGGGCCTGGAAATTGTTTTTGTTGAGGTGGGGGATATAGAAGGTATTATAGTTGGGGTATGGTTATATTAACCTTGAGATAGGGGGTTAGTGAATACTAAACAAAATTTTCTAAAATTTTTCGAAATTTTTGAAGTTTTTATTGAATCATGCTCTCAACACTACCTTTTCAATGCTCTTTTTTAGCTCTTTCATCGTTTCGAACAAACAATAATATTAATTTAAACTTCAATTTTTGACTTTTTCTTTGATAAACAAGCTGATAAAGAGATTAAAACAAACTTGTACTAATTATTGATTTAAACAAAGAATAATACATTAATTAAAAGGAATTTGATAAGGTTTGATAACAAAAAAAGGCAGTGAAAACGTAAGAACTATTAAGACTTTTTTTGACTTTTGTTTACTTTAAAATGGCATTTTTAGCTCGAAACGTTTACAAATATAGAAAAATTTGAAGATTTTATCAATTTTCGAAATAAAAATATGTTTAAAACAAAAATATTGAGTAATATACAACCAATAATCTGTAGTAAACAACAAAAAACCACTTACATAAGCAGCTCTGACAAAGTCATTGATATATCTGACGTTGCTGCTGAAGGTGTTGCTCCATTGGCTAGGCGACGTGACTTGAAGCCAAACCCTGTTCAATTGCAAGTTGTTTGTTTTGGCAAAAGCATAAGCCGACTCGAATTGACCACTTCCAGATCCACTAGGGTATGGAGTGACAAAAACTTCGAAAGCCAAACGGCCGTTGTAAGCGGCCAACACATTGCTCACTCCAACACGGTCTCCAGCGTTTCGGTTGTAGAGACGGAAAAAGCCAACTTTGTAGCCGGACCGTACGAGACAGTCCACTTGTGATGCTGTCAGTTGGTATGTGGTATCAATGCCAAAGGCAGCTGGAGCGGTGCCAATTTTACCGGCTGGTAGAGGGGTGGCGGGTAGCGAGGCTACAGCAGTGGCTAGCAGGAGGGTTGACAAAAGTTTGAACATGATTCTGAAAGGGATTGAAAATTATGTTGTTGTAGGCATTTTAAAGAAAAATATTGAAGAACAAATTTTAAATTGGCGCGAAAATTTACGTTTAAAAATATTTTTTTAATTTAAAGCCACTAAAAATCAAAAAAGTATACTTTACCCCGCCCGCCCTTGATTTTTCGGGCTAAAATTTTTAAAATGAGTATCCAGCGGAAAAGTATCACCCTATAAACGTTTTTAAATTACTCCTCTCCCTCTTCACTAGAAAAGAGTAATTCACTTTCCCCCCTAGTCTTAAACTCTAAACAGTACGTTTAAAACCTCTTCAAAAGCCTAAAAACCGTCTCCAGAAGCCAACAAACCTTCTGAATCTCATGAAAAATGGCTTGCTCTAAACATCTTTTATATGGGTTGTATTGGGGAAGTCGAGGGCGGGTATGATTACTAATACAAACAATAGTTTGTTAAAAAAGTCACTTAATGTTTCCGGAAAATAGTGATAAGGAAGCGGTGATAAGCGAAGGAAGCCACCACACTTTGACTAGCCTGTGTCCAACGTAATATCAACTTACCAACTGTTCACAAACTAGATTTGGGATAGGTTTATAGGCTTAAACTAGGATAGTTTATGGGCTTGTTATTAGTCCGTTTATCTGTTAACATTAGGCTGTTTTGTAGGCTTATTATAAGCTTACACTAGAGTGTTCTATTGATTTAAATTAGGCTGTTTTATAGGCTTAAACTAAGCGGTTTCATGGGCTTAAATTAGACTAGTTTATTGGCTTATTACTAGTCAGTTTTTAGGCTTAGTTTAGGCTGCTTTATAGCTTATTATAAGCTGAAACTAAGTTGTCTGTCAAACTAGGCTATTTTAAAGACTTAAACTTGGCTGTTTAGTAGGTTTAAACCAATCAGTTAAAATTTGATCTATAGACCTAAATAAGTTAGCTTTATAAGCCTAAAATAACATATTTTCCTCATAAAAAATTAAAACTTTAAGCCTGCTTAAGCAAAATAAAGGAAAATAATTAAAATTGTGAGCTTTTTATGTGATTATAATGATAAAGGTCAAGAATGAAAAGACATTTTTCATTCATTATGAGTAAGAGTTCAATTGTCCCTTATCACTAACACAAAAGCCTTCAAGGAAAATAAATAAAGCTTTGTGAATCATTACTGTTTATTTTTAAAAAGTTTTGGAAAAACAAGTTAATTTCGAACGAACTGATGTGCTGTAGGATGAGAATCAAATATTAAAGGTCATTTACTAATATTTTAGTTGGTTATAAAAAATTTTATTCTCTTTTTCAACACAAGATATATATTAGGTGCCGACATAAAGAACCCGCCATTTTTTACAGGAAATTACAGGAAAAGTATGGCGGGTTTTTTATGTCGGCACCTAATATTAGTTTTGAACTTTTCATAATACCTTTGAGGTAAGAGTAGGGGTAGGAGTAGTGGATATTGTCGATGGTGAGAAATTGCTAAAGACTGTCAGAGCAATCCAGTGTAGCTGTTCCTAATTGGGCTTTATTCAGGTGATCCGGTTTCTCAGAGGTGTGGTGAGGTGCTCCTCAAGAATTTAGGCTGTAGATTAAATTTATCGTTGTGAGACCTAATCTGAGCCCCTGGGGCATTGGTTTGGGATTAGACCTTCGAGCCCAGATGTGCCATTGCGGTTCGCATCTTTAAAGTTTTTTCGTCTTGACCCGGATCTAGCGGGCTGGTTTTTAGGTTTATTTTTCTCTCTTTAGACTGAAATTCATTCTGTCAAGGCTGATTATGTCTAACCGGAACTTATTACTCTAAGTCCTGCAAAATTTTCTATCAGTTTACTTTTACAACTAAAACACAATAAAATCTATTACAAAGATATCGAAGAACTACAATAATAAAAATTTAAAAAATATGCTACAAAATATTTAAATTGAGTAATTTATTCGGGTAAAAATAGCCATTTTCCTTTGGTTTTGCCTTCGGGCGCTTTTGGCGGTGGTTTCGGGATGCCATAACGATCGTATGGGAATTTGTCAGCCCAATCTAATGGTATCAATATCCTGTTGATGTAGCTGCTTTTTGTTGTTTTTGGCAGTTCTTGAACATTCATTGGACGGATCATTGTTTTTGGTCGATTTTCGTTATGTCTTCTTGTTTGAACGTGCTGTTCTTTTGGTAATGGTGTAGGTCTGTTGGTTTTTTGCCTTTCTGTAGGTTTATCAGGTAGTAGTAGTCGTTGATCACTTCTTGGGCTTGAATCAGGTCTTAGATTGTTGTGTTCTTGTTTTTGATTAGCTGGGCTTTGTCGCGGGAAATCATGGTCTTTCGGCCGATTTTGATCTATGTTAAGATGCTGGTGGTTTTCTGATAGAACATGTTTGTCGTTATGAACTTTAGGCCTTGTTACTGATACTGGTCGTTGAGGATTTTCTAGCCTTCTTGTCTCATCTGGTCGTTGATGACTCTGATGTCTTCTCACCTCATCTGGTCGTTGATGCTTTTCAAGTCTTCTTATCTCATCTGGACGTTGATTTTTTTCATGCCTTCTAGTCTCATCTGGTCGTTGATAATCTCCACCATTCTCTGGTCTTCTTTGCCTTTGTTGATGTTGTTCTTGACGAGGTAACTTCAAGTCTTTAGGTGAGTTAATGTCCCTTAAAGGAGCACGATTCTGATGTCTTTCTGGCTTTGCCAAATCTTCTGGTCTACGTTGACTTTCTGGCTTCCTATGAAGAATATCAGGTCGTCTGTGCTCAATTTCAGGCTGTGATTCACTTTTATCAAGTCTGTTTTCTAAATGAGTAGGTCTGGGAGCAAGATTGGCATCAGGTCTTCGATCAGGGATGATCTTAGGCTTTTGGTCATGGTTGATATTAGGTCTCCGATTAGGTCTGACATCAGGTCTATTTGATACTATTGCTTCTGTTATTTTTGGTAGAATAGCGACTACTCTAGGTTCTCCAGATCGTATGCCGGTTAAACGTTGTTCATATGGTTTATCTACGACTTCTATTGGGTTTATACCAGTCAGTAGTTGTTCTTGTAGCTCTTCTTCTTTCCCTTGTGGCCGTTTTTTGATAAATCGTTGGCCGCGCTGTTCTTTAGGCAGTTGTTGGTGTGGTCTTCTATCTACAAATTGTTCATGGTTAGGTCTTCTAACTACATTTTCAATGGCTGGGATTTGAACTGGTCTTCTTTCTATGCGTTGTTCATGAACTGGTCTTCTTTGTACTAGTTGTTCACGGTATTCTTTTCGTTCTTGTCGAGCTGGTCTTTTACCTTGATTATGTTCATGATTAGGTCTTCTATCTGCTTGTTGTTCATGAGCTTCTTTTGGTTTCTCATGTTTCATTTTTCTTAATTTCTTCACTGGCCTGCCAGCAATTGAATGTTTGTAGCCCATTTCATTCTTTTCCTGAAGATCATTAGCTAGCTCTCGAGGGTTTTTACCAGTTAGTAGCTGTTCATAAGCTTCTTCTTCTCGAGCTTGTTGAAGTCTTTTTTTATTTATACGTTGTCTTTGTGGTTGTTCAGGTTGCCTTTGTCTTTGAGTATCTATTGGTCGAGTAGCTATTGGTGTTTGGGTTACTATTGGTCTTCTTTGTCTTTCAAATGGTTCTCTACGTTCAGAGAGCTTTTGCCTTTGTCGTTCACTTGGCTGACGTTGCTCACTTGGTTGTCGTTGTCTTTCAATAGGTTGTCTATGACCCTTTCTTTCTGCTTCTTGAGGTCTTCTGCCTGTTAAGAGTTGTTCTTGAATCTCTTTAGCAGCTTCTTGCTTTTGTACTCCTGTTAAAAGCTGTTCATATCTTCTCTCGTTCTTTTCTTGTAGATCATCAGCTAACTCTCGAGGGTTTCTGCCAGTCAGTAGCTGTTCATACACTTCTTCAGCTAATTCTTGACGATTTAAATGTCTTTCTTTCTTTTCGTTAGGTATTTCTTGAGGCCTTATTTTGTTAAAATACCGTTTTCGATTTTCTTCTTGAGGCAGTCTGTTATTAAAACGTCCTTGTTGAGCATTTTTTTGAGGACGTTGGTTAATATAACGTTGTTGCTTAACTTTTTCAGATGCTTCGTGAGGACTTCTACCGGTTAAAAGTTGTTCAAGGACTTCCTCTTTTAATCTTTGGGATTCTTGAGGGTTTCTTCTTCTAAGTAACTGTTCATGTCTTCCTTCATTGGCTTCTTTAAGGTCTTCTGGGAGATGCCTAGGTTTCTTTCCGTTCAGTAACTGTTCATAAACTTTTTCCTTTGCTTCTTGTTCTTCTTTACCACTGAGTAACTGTTCATAAACTTCTTCTTTAAGCTCTTGCTTTTGTTTTCCAGTCAATAGTTGTTCATAAATCTCTTCTTCAGCTTCTTGAGCTCTTCTGCCATTTAGTAATTGTTCTAGAACTTCTTCATTTATTCTCTGTTGTTTCTTGGTTTCTTGTTTTTGCTGCCCTGTCAGTAGTTGTTCATACACTTCTTCAGCTAATTCTTGTTCTTTTCTGCTATCTTGTCTTTGATTATCAGAGAGATAAGGCTTTTCAAGTACTCTTGGCGTAAGATATTGTTCTTGCTTCTTTTCATTTTCTTTTGGTCTTCGATCTCTTTCTAGGTTACTTGGTCTTCTTTCCCTTTTAACGTCATGAATTGGATGTTCAAGCCTTTCAACCGGTCGTCGAAGCCTTTCAACTGGCCTTGTTTTGTTTACAACCGTAGTATAATCTACTATACGAGGTCGGTTGCTATTAACTTCTTGATTTGAAGCTGTTGGTACTAAATTTCTAGGTGTGGACCGTTGATGATATTGTGATATAGAAGGTCTGTTACGGTAGAAAGGCCTTTTATTCTGGTCTATGTTCTGATACCTTTGGCTTTCTATTTCTAGCTTATTATTTCTTCCGGAATCAGAAATCCTGTCTTCAACCCTTCTGCCATCATTTCTTACGCCATCATGCCTTAAACTATCACGCCTTCTGTTATCAAGCCCTCTGCTACCATGTCTTACGCCATTATGTCTTCTACCACCCCCAGGCGCCAAAACTTCAGTGACAGTATGATGTTCAGCATGGTGATCATCAGAAGTCTTTTTCCTCAAATCATCTTCTTCCTTCTTGGTCTTTGTTGTGTCTGTTAACTGTTGTTTCTTGGCTTCTTCCTCTTCCTTCTTATGGTCTTCTTTCTTTATCCAGATGTCATCTGTGATGTGTTTCTTGTTTTCTGTTTCTTCTTGCTTCCTCTTCTTTGATTCTTTGTTTTCTTCTTCTTCTGTCTTTTTTTCTCGATGCTTCTTCAGAACATAACGATGACAAAGGTCGCCCAACACCTGCATTTCGTCTTTAGATAGACTGTGCTCCTTCTTCTTTCGTTCTATATTCTGTTCTTCTTCAAGTTTCAACTTCTTGTTAACCAAATCACGTTCTTGATGAAGATGTTTGACGTTCTTCTTGTGTAGCTCATTGGTTCGACGGTTCAGTTCTTCCATGATTTGCCGAGCTTTCTTCACATCTTCTGTTGACTTGTGCTTGTGTTGGCTGGATTCGGAATGAGCGTCGTCGACTGTCAGTTCGTCTAGAAGCTTACGACGGATTTCTGGGGATGATCTTGAGATGAGGGATCTGAAATTTGTTGTTTTAGTTAGTGATTGGAATGGTTATCTATAGAAACGAATTTTTAGTTCCGTCTTGCCTTTGGCCTGCTTTTGCTCTGCCTTTGCTTTGCCTTTGCCCTGCCTTTGTCTTGCCTTTGCCCTACCTTTTCCTTGCCTTTGTCCTGCCTTTGCCCTGCCTTTTCCCTGCTTTTGGTCTGCCTTTGCCTAGCCTAGCCCTATTTTGCTCCATTATGCCGTGCAGTGTTTTGCCGGACCGGTCCGGACCGGCCGGACGGACCGAAACAGAAATTTTTGCGGACCGGACCGGACCGGACCCAAAAACCTGCGGACCCGGACCGAAGAAAAAGCTCCGGACCGGTCCGGAAGAAAATTTTTTTTTTTATTTTAAGAAAACTGTTTTAAAAATTGCAAATAAAACCTATTTTTAGCGTTTTTAAGCAAAAACAAAGCAGGTTTAGCCATCCTTGCTTTTTTTAAAAATTTAAAAAATTTTTTTTGCGGACCGGACCGGACCCAAAAAATCGCCGGACCGGACCGGTGAAAAACGCTCCGGACCGGTCCGGGCAAAACACTGATGCCGTGTCTTGCCCTTTTCTGCCCTGTTTTCCTAGCTCTACTCTATTTTATAGTTTTAAAATGCTAAAACAAATATAATCTTACCCTTCTCTTTCACCATCAATAGGATCGCAGTACGGTACGGCCATGCCTTCCAATTGTCTTCCGCCTACAACACAATATGCATTTAAAGTAGCCTGAAGCTCCCGTCGAATATGATGAGGTTGAGACACGATTAGGTCGTTTTGTCTTCTACAGGTCTCTAGCCATGACAATCGTTGATTGTATTCTAGGTTCTGTAAAGTGGATTTTAATTATTTTAAATTAGGTTTAAATTTTTTGAAATTTTGAAGCTTGAGGCATGATAGTAAGCTGGAATACTGTAATTTTGGAATTACTACAAGTTTTTCTACCTTATCTAACCCTATCGAAAAATGTTTTTAAGGTGCAAGCTATGACCTAGGATAAAGATTTTTGATTAGTAAATGAAATTCAACTTACAATCAAATAAAGTTTGACCCTGTGGGCTTCTGGAGACATGTGAAGCAAGGATGGGTTGTGTCTAGCTGCATTTTCAAAAACTTGAAATTGGCGAAGCTGGGATTGATACAATCTCTGAAAAATGATAAAATACCATAGAAAAGTCATCGGTAATCAAAAGAAAAACAAAAATTTAAAAAAATTTTAAAATTTAAATTTTTTAAAAAATTTTTGAAAAAATTTTTAAAATTTTAAAAAATCGAAAAAAAGTAAAAAATCTTTTTAAAATAAGCCTACACCCGCCAATTCCTTGTTATATCGTGCCATGTCGTTCCTCAACTTCCTCAAGATTGCATGTTTAGGTAGATTCTGCTCATTTATCTTATCTACAAACCACGCATAGTTGTCATTGTTGTATTCTCGACGGAATATCTCGTAGTCTCTTGGATCTACTTCATCATACGTATAATATAGAGCCGCATCTACATTGTAGATTACAAAAAGACATACGACAAGACATTGGAGCGTCTTGAGTTTGTCACGCATTTACTGTTTTTAAAGAGTTGTAGCTTGGTTTTCAATTTTACGTGATGTATATTGTAATCTTTGGTAGTCTTTGGATCTAAAGATATGTTTTTACAGTCTACTTTAAAAAAAGAATGGCTATTATGGGAAAATATAAAAGTCTTGTCGTTAAATTGTATTGAATTTTATAGTAAAAAACGACAAGACTTTTAAAAATCTATTTTACCCTATCCTACTTTCGCATAGCCTCACCTACCTTCGACTACCTTCACTTATCTTCATTTACTCTCACCAACCTTTAGTTACCCTCACCTACCCTTATCTACTCTCACCTACCTTCACCTACCCTCACTTACCCTAACTTACTCTCACTTATCTGTATGTACCCTAACTTGCAGTTGTCATTGATATAAATACAAGACAAAAAACTTACAATCAGTTCAGTAAGTATAGATACAGTTAATATCAACAACTCTCACACGAATCTAAAACATATAAGCCAATCGCGAGAAAGTGAAGGTGTCAACCAGAAGACGGGTCGATTTCAAATAATTTTGAAACGGTTTGAATGGGACTTTATCACTTAACGACCTGATAGTCAATTCATATGCAAACCTTCAGTCTTTATGGCCGCAGGGCGAGTTAATTTCCGAGAACTTATGATTCAACCACATTAAACATGATTACCATAAACGACGTTCTGTTTTTCGTTAAAGGACATTGTGGTGGAGTATATACGTTTTGATGACATAAAATTATATTGAGTAGCTTAATTTCTCTTGCCTTTGCCTTTGCTTTGCCTTGTTTTTACCTTTGCCCTTCTCTACTTTGCTCTGTCCTGTTCTGTCCTACAGTGTCCTGTCTTTTCCAGTCTTGCCCGGCTGTACCCTACTTTGCCCTCTCCTACCCTGCTCTGCTCGGCATTTACAAATCGTATTTTATCTTCCTCTACTAATAAAAAAGGTACTGTAAAAAAATTCATAAAATTTCGAAAAAACTTATCAAAATCAATAATAATGAATATTTATGAAACCATTGAAGTGTGGCAATAAGGAACAAAACAGCATGTTCCAGATGAAATTTTACGATTTCTTGCTGACATGTGCAATATACAAGACACGTTTGTAAAGAATTTATAATTGGTAACAATATGCAGTAATCTGTCAAAAAAAGATAAAATTTTATTAATATCATCAGGTACAGTAACAATTTAAAAAAGTAAGAAAGTTATTCCTCTCCGATGTACCATTTTTGAATAAGAATTGGCAAAAGGTATCTGTGCTCTTGGTAAAAGCTGACGCTGGCATTATTGATCAACACCCATGGTACACCCCCGTGTTCAACTGGTCCTATGTTACTCGTGCGAGCAGCATTAGCTTTTATAAGATCGTCACCGAGTTGGCCATTATAGCATTCTCTAAAAAAAGATTGTTAAAGCCAGTATTAAGGGTAGGGTAGGGTAGGTTTTGAAACTTACTCAATTTGTTTTACAACATCATCTGGAGTACTAAGCGTATCATGACAAGTTTTTGCGGCAACATCGATGTCTTCGGTTGTGCCGGCAAACTGGTTTTCGATACATGCAATAAGAGGGTAATGATCTTGAACAACATTGATCACACAAGCTTCGTACTTGTTTCCTTTGCATTCTGGCTCTCCGTGTTGACAGTCGATGATACCGTCCTAAAAACAGTGTTTTGCCGGAGTTAGTGAAATCTGGGGTTATGCATTTTTAGGGAATGTATTGCCCTACTCTATATTATCTACTCTTATCCTACCTTACTTTACCCTGCCTTATTGTAATTATTACTCACCGGCTTGATTAATGCATTTCCATAAGGCACAAGCTCAATATCAGCTATATTTTTGAAGTGGTCATAAATGTATTGCAGTTCGTTGTTAATAAATCGACTACAGGATGGGCAAAGCGTTTTGTATAAAAGTGTAAGCAACATCTTTTTGCCTTTGTTTTTGTTGTTGTACTCTTGACATTGTTCTTTGACGTTGCACAACAGAGCCAATTCATCATCTTTGCACCACATAGCAGGTGGTACATCTTCGCATTTCAAGTCTATACCTTGTACTTGATTGTACAAGAACAAAGTTAAAATGAGTAGTAAAATAGACAACAACTTCATGTTGGAAATATTGAAGATTATGTGGTTTGTAAATTAATAAAGGCTATATATAGCCACATGTTACAGAGCAAAAGATGCAGTTGTACAGTTTTTGCATACTAGCGATTAAGTGCATTATATAAAGTAACATTTTCGTTAACAATGTTGTTTTTCATGTCTATATGCCACACAAGGGTTAATCAATCAAGAAACAGCTTTTTACAAAAATGTCAAGTAAAGTTTGATTTTGTAATCAATGTTAACGCTAAAAATAAAATTTTATTATGGTTGAACTATGTATTACTTATTCTAAAGCCTGGCCCAAATTAAGGTCAAGCCGGGTCTGAAATCTTAGCCCGGACCCCGCACGTTTCCGCGTAAAAAAATTCGGGCTGGACCAAGCTGGAGCAAAATTTTGATTGGGCTGAACATTCAGGCCCGGCCCATTTCTCGTGTCTACTACACAGTGCATTTAAAACCTCTGTATAATGAAACTTCTTCATAACAAACAAATTTTAAATCTACTAGCGATTCGTTATATAGAAGTTTCACTGTAGTACGAAGGGCATAAAAAGTAAGCAAAAAACCATTTTCAAAAAGTGCTAAATGGCGTAGGCCAGCGAGTTGTCGTACGCTCAAAAGTTACCCCAAAAACTATCTTCAAAGCCCGCAAAATTATCTCGGCTAGTGAGGTATAGATGTTAGTAGGCAATAAATTAAATTTAGAAAAGTATTGTAGCCAATTGGAAAATATGAATTGGAAGTTAAAGCAAAAGTTCGTTTTGATAAACTTCTTAGTTAGCACACTCACTTCTTAGTTAGCACACCCACTTCTTAGTTAGCACACTCACTTCTTAGTTAGCACACCCATTATCAGAAGCACTTTATGTAGTTCAGTACGTAATTTCAGAATCGACGTATGAACCGGTACTCAACATCCCAAAAGAAGACTACGAAAACCTGATGCAATTCAACTTGGACGAAGTCGTATCCGACAAAACGACCGCTTCCATCAGTTGAAATGTTTTTACAATTTTATTTGTAAAAACTCAAATTTGAATAAATGGGTGGTCATAATAGGTGGTGGGTGTGTTTATTGGGGTGGGTGGGTTCTCTAGAGAAGCCCCAAAAGTTTAATAATACTGCTTCACGACAATGTGACGTTGCGCGGACCATTGTTTTGAAGTTTTGAAGCTTAATGAATTGAGTAACGTTACGAGACGCTATTTGATCTGCCGTACTCTTTGGGTTTGTCTCTAAATGATTACCACTTATTAAAACAACTGGACTATCATATACAGCAGAAGCTCTTCAGATACCAAGATGAGATCAAATTATAGAGGTGAATCTTTTTTATTAGCTCTAGAAGCCGGCTTCTTTGTCAGTGGAATAAATAAACTAGTACAGTAAATTTTTCTATATAGTGAACCATCTGTATAAGCAACTTTCTTTATAGTAAACAAGTAATTTGGTCTTGCCAAGTCAATTTACACTAAAAAGCTTCTCTGTACAGGCAACACCTCATATAGTAAACACAAAATGTCGGTTCCTTCGAGTTGCTTATACAGAAAGAGTACTGTATCTCGTTGAGCGGATTGTATAAATTTGATCGGTTGTTACTTTGATTAATAAAGTTGTTAATGAACAAAATTATGGTTATTTTAAATTTGTTGGTAAAACCCGTCATTCTTTTCTGTCCAACATAATAAAAGCCGAAGAATCTTCAGTGCAACTCTCTAGAAAAGCTAAGACTCTGGATAAGGTTAAATTCTTTATTGTTTCCTCTTCTCCAAACCCAATATTTACTCTGTTATTCAAATTTTTATTGCAGCCGATATTATGTGGAGTCTGATGTCGAAGCGGAGATAAACCCAGCGTACCCAGTTTTCCCTCGCCCATTCCCCCCCCTCCTTTCAACTTTCGAACTTTGTTTTAAAGAAGCGAATGTGTTTCTGACAATTTTTTTTCCTCGTCTCAAATGGCTATTCCTCTCCGGCGTTCCGAGATAAATCCGAACACGCGAGCTGCTGTGATGATCGTGTGTTTTGCCTCCAGAAGCCTTCGACTGATCATTAGAGGTTTGGGTTTTGTGTTGACGTTATGGGGGAAGAAAAGAGGATTTGATAGATATCTATGAAGCTAAATAAGGGGTAAGGAGAGGAGAGGGATGGTGTAATTTACATTTTTTGGGGGAAAGAAAAAAAAATATATTTTTCAATATTAAGGAAAAATCACAAAAATTTTTTTCCAAGAGAGAGAAGAAAATAAAATGCTTGACAGTATAAGGAGAGGTATCTATATCTGTAAAGAGCCGGGCTAGTTTTTGTGTATTGACCTCTGGGTCTACATTTCCCGAAGGTCAATACGCACGGCTAAGGCTAAGGCTAAAGCTAAGGCTAAGGCTAAGGCTAAGGCTAAGGCTACAACTTGTAGCACATAAAAACTGTTAAAACTTTTTAATTTTTTCATTTTATTTGATTTCGAAGTGTGAGTCAGAGAGCTATTTTTTGATTCCATTTTTCGCTTTTCAATCCGATCCCTAAACAAATGTTTTTTCGTGATAAAAAAGATCTTTTGGCACATTATCACTAACTTTATCCGTTTCGAAATTAAATTCTTTTGGCTATTTTTTGACTTTTTTAGCTTTTTAAAAAAAATGAAAATTTTAGGTTTTTTAGGTAATACATTGCCTCCATTCCTATAAACTGCCTTACCATACCTTACTTTAGTAATATTTCTAGTAATAAAAATATGATAACCATTGATCAATGCTACAAAATTTGGATATTAATCTTGTTAATCGGGTCAAAACAGATAGAAGACAGGCAGGCTTGACAGATGGGCTCAATGAGGTCACCCAGGCCAAGTGATAGATTAAGTCGAGGGTATTGGTCAGCGTTTCTCTTTCGTTTTTTTCCGCTTTCCGGTCTTCAAAAATAATGCAGGGGTTATACAATATCTGTCATGGTATATTATAGTATATTATAGTACTTATCTTTTTTATTGTTTAAAATATGGTAAGGCATGGTAGACTTTGGATATGACAAAAACTAGAGCAAGGGCTGGTATTAAGGCTAGGCTATGGCAAGGCTAGGCAATGGCTAGGGTCAAGTCTGGCATTGAACCAGGGCGTGGGCTAGGGCTCTGGGCTAGGGCTCTGGACTAAGGCTCTGGGCTAGGGCTCTGGGCTAGGGCCCTGGACTAGAGCTTTGCACTAGAGCTTTGGGCTACGGCTAGTGTATGGTAAAGTACTATTACAGCATATAGAATCCGCTAGTACTGTAGTAATGATTACTACAATGTAATAAGCACCCCAATAACTCTGACTATTTCAACTTGCAATCCAGCCGGCTAGCTGCTATTGTGTGATTTATGCGAAAATATGCAAAATATTTATTCTAAACGCTTTTCCGAGTTTTTCCTTTATTTCGGTGTTTTTGTCGCGGCAACTGCGACGTCGAATGCCTCCGGGCGCTTTCACTCCCAAACTGAATGGCTTTCTACAAAAGCATTTTGTCGATTGATTTGGGTTCGGTATTGGTTTGGAATTTTGATTTTTTAACTTTTTTAAATTTTTTTAAAATCTTTTAATAATTAAAAAAAAACTTTTTTTTTAATTTCAAAAATTTAAATTTAAAATTTTTTTTGAAATTTTAAAAAGTTTAAAACAAAAAAAAACAAGAATAGCCTTTTAAATTAAGCCCTTTCCAATTGTTGCTTTGCCAAGTTTGTAAGAAAAGTTCTCGTTTTTTGTTTTAATGGCCTTGAAATGTGGCCAAAGCCCTAGTTTTTTTATTGGATTGTGCTTTATTCCACATGTTTTAAGAGGACGACATCTGCAATTATCTTGAGAAGGTTTTAGTTTCTTTAGCCATTGGCGTGGCTTTAATGAAAAGTTTTTGAGGGTGGGGTAAATTTTTTCAAAATTTTTTTGGGGCAGGTTTTATATTGGGTATGGAAGGAGTATGGTAAGGAAAATGGCAATAATATGGTATATTATAATTTGAATTTTTTTATTTTTTAGCCCAATTTTTTTTCAAACAACAACAATACAACTTGTCAAGCACACCAAACATACAAAACTAACAACACTCAAGTGTTATGTTTTGGTTCTTTGCCTTCTGTCTCACACCCTGCAAGTCTAATATCCTCCCTCTTGTCAGTGATAAAATCCTCGGATCCACAAAGCCCCCCCACAGCATGTAACCGAACAGGCTGGTAACAGCGCAGCGGCGAAAAAAAGAGGTCAAGCCGGGCTGAGGTCAAGTGAAGGTGACGCGCTCTTCTTCTCTCCCCAAAAAACGTGGGGTTTCAAGAACCCTCTCGATTTCGAGGCGCCTGTAAACTACTACAAAATTATGCGACAAAAAGGTACAATTTGGTTTTGTGTTGATGGTGGGGTTGGGTTAGGGCAGGGGTGAGAAAAGGTTGGGAAAGACAGCTAAAAGGGAAGGAGATACCAAGAAAAAACAGTGATAAGTGGGCGGAGGCAGGGACAAAATAAAAATTGTTAACTACTATCTTAAGCTAATTAAAAACGCTACCTAATTCCCAGTTTTCATCAACTTACTCTCAGTAATTCAAAAGTTATGGCAAAAAGTTTACCGCCAACCCAATTTTTTAAACCTAACTCAACATAACGCTTGCTTTTCGCTGTAAATCTCAACTGTAAGCAACCAAATGTGATTCAAATTGCTCACAGATAATCAAATTACCATGTCGTAGAACTTGAATTTCGATACGACTTTAATACGATTTCACGGTAACCGAATAATTTGCGTTTGCTCCGCGGAAGTGATTGAGGTACAATGTTAATTAAAGGTCATGGTATTTAGTTAAAATTTGTTTAATTTGTAATTTGATACCATTTACCTACGGAGTTTATACGTTTAGTTAATCGAAAACTGAGATTTTACCTTATTTTTATATAACATGTATATAATGATTTGGTTCTGGCACGAAAAATTGCCATTAAAAATCATGGCTTTCCGTCATACGCATAAAAAGAAAATTACGCGCATCTGGCCAAAGTTTATTTACGACCGGGGTACCCGACCAATTTGAATCGATTATCTTCCGAAACAACACATCTTCTCTGTCTTTACACCAGCTTATGTTATTCTTTGACCAGAGTCAAGTGTAATATAGGATTTTGAACTGTTCTCCTCTGTTTATCGTTCCGTATTCGTGAGTAATATCAAGATTGCTGTTCCTTCTTCACACATCATAACATGATAACATTTGCACGGATAAACAAACATGTTTTTGGACTAATCTAACAATATTATGCTTGATTTTGTGAAAGTTTTTCAAGTTTATTCTTAGGCACATTATTCTTGACTCATCCGAACGTCGATTTGCTTTGCGAATGGTCCGAAATTGCTGTTTTTTCGAATTTTATATCAGAATTTGTTTAATGTTTATGAGGTCTGGAATGACTGCTTTTTTATATTATGTTATATTATCTTTGGTGTGGGGAGAAGTGGAAAATGCTGCTGTTTTTGATAGTTGCTTTTGCTGACGGGGAGAATTGTTTTATTATGTTGTTCTGTATACTTTGGTTGTTATTTTGACACAGTTTGATTTGGAATTGACTTTATCTTTTCTAGTTATGATTTTTTTGTCTCACTGTTACCTATTTTGCACTTGACGTTTAATACCTAACAAATGGCAAAGTGCTATTATGATATTTTTTAGTATATTAATTGAGGTACTTACTTTGTACTTTTGACAAAATTTAAAGTTACACTGATTTTACTTTTTAAAAGGTAGAATTATTTTTCTGATACCTACATATTGCACTACCTATTTTTTGAAAAACTTATTTTTACCGCGGTTTTCAAACTTTCGAAGCTAAAACTAGTAAACTATTATTCTCAACATAATATAATTACAGTTCTACCGGTTGGCAGTCGATATCCAACACACAAATGCAAGAATGTCGGCATTGGAAAGGTTAAAACAACTGGAACGTCTCTATTTGTGTGGTGCGCCATACGAATCGTCATTATCATTGGAGACGTTGTTGGATTCCTTAGTCTGTCTGTACGATGAGTGCTGTAGCTCAACGTTGCGACGAGAGAAATCTATCGCGGAATTCGTGGACTATGGTAAGTATTTATTACTGTGTTTTTGAAATTTTAGGTAACCGAAGTTTGATTTTGGAGGTAATGATGGATTTTTAAATAAATCTGACGTCTTGAAGATTAAGTTTTGAGTTGCTTAAGTAAAATTTATTTTATTTTCAGCAAGACCAACTGTAAGTCAAGTAAAAGCTCTGAGGTTATCGAGAGATGACTTTGATGTGCTTAAAGTTATCGGTAGAGGCTCATTTGGTGAAGTTGCTGTTGTAAAGTTAAAAAACACAGATAAGGTAAGAACTTATTTTGAAACATCAAAGAAAAGAGAATGAAATACTTAACGATTTATGACTATAAACTAAAACTTTAGGTATATGCAATGAAGATTCTTAACAAATGGGAAATGTTAAAACGTGCCGAAACCGCGTGCTTCAAAGAAGAACGTGATGTGATGGTATTTGGGGACAGACAATGGATAACAAATATTCACTTCGCCTTTCAAGACGAGAAGAACCTGTATTTAGTTATGGAATATTATGTTGGCGGAGATCTACTAACCTTATTATCAAAGTTCGAAGTCCGACTTCCAGAATCCATGACTCGCTTCTACGCGGCCGAAATGATTTTGGCCATAGACTCGGTTCATCGTCTCGGCTACGTACATCGTGACATAAAGCCGGATAACATTCTCCTCGACCGGTCGGGTCATATTAAACTGGGCGATTTTGGAAGTTGTCTTAAAAGGCTTGAGGATGGTACGGTTAGAGCCACAACGGCAGTAGGTACACCTGATTACATATCGCCGGAGACGTTGAGGGCCGTGGAGAGTGGACACGAGACGTATGGAGCCGAATGTGATTGGTGGTCGTTGGGGATCTGTATGTACGAGATGTTGTTTGGTGAAACACCGTTTTATGCTGACAGTTTGGTCGATACGTACGGTCAGATCATGAATCACGAGGTGAGGGAAAGTTGCAGAATTATGTTTTGAAGAGGGGAAAGTTATGTCTTTGGCCGCAAAGTTATGTTTTGATGGTCAAAAGCTATGTTTTGTGGGCTAAAGTATTATTTTTCGAAAGAAATTTTAAGAAAAATGATGGTTTAAACTAAAAATCAATTTAAAAATGACTTTTTTTAAAAAAATATTATGTTTATTACCTAAAAAGCTAAAAATTTTTGGTGAACGTCCTTTAAATGAGATGAAATCTTAAAAAAAGTATATAAAATGTTTAATTCTCTTATTTTCAGCAAATGTTCGAGTTCCCTGATGATATCGAGATCAGTGAAGCCGCTCGAGACTTAGTGTCAAAGCTGATTTGTGCACGAGAACGTCGTTTAGGCAAAAATGGTCTAGAAGACTTTAGAAACCATCCGTTTTTCGAAGGAATCGACTGGGAAAACATCAGAAATGGTAAGAATTTTACGTTTTTTGAAAGGAAAAATGATTTTTGTAGGATTTAGAAGTTATAGAGCATTTTTCTTTTAAAAAATTGTTTGGAAATGGAGTTTTTGGGATTTAAAATGATTTTTTAAAATTTTTCAAACTCAAAAAATTCAGTTTAAAAAAATTAAAATTTTGAGTTTTATGATTTCTATGTTAATATCCACCTTTGCAGCCACAGCCCCGTACGTCCCAGAAGTCTCATCCGAAACCGATACCTCCAACTTTGACGAATTTGAAAACGATTTCACCCCGGTCAACACTCAACCACCCAATGTCACAGCCGCCTTCACAGGCCACCACCTACCCTTCGTAGGCTTCACATACACACACGGTAGTCAGCTAAGTGATATGTGCAACCTTGTTGACGCCACAACATTGGAAAGTGTAGATAATGGCAAAAGTGATAAGCTAGATCAGCTAGAACGGGAAAGAAACGATCTCCAAAGACAAATCTCGGAAGTTTTGGGTGCTACGAAGAATGACGAATCAGAAACCATCATTGCTCAGCTGAAGGATGAGATTCAGATCCTGAAGAGGCGGCTTGAAGACGATGCGAACTTGGCCAGGCCAGTTAAGGATGTTAATGTAGAAGAGATGGAAAAGAAGTTAAAGGAGTTGAAGGACAAGAATCGACAATTGATTTTGGAGAAACAGGATTTGCAAAGGGTAAGGATTAGAAAAAGTGTGAAGTTTTGGTGGAATTTGTTTTTAAAGTTTTAAAAATAGCTTTAAACTTGAAAAATTTGAGTTTTAGAGCCTAAAAATGAAGTTTACAGGAAAATTTAAAAAATAATAGTTAATAATTTTTTATAAAATTTAGGAGCTAGAAGACAATGCGGAACGCCTAACCACGGTAATAACAACTCAATCCGAATCCGGCCAAGAACTCGAAAAGCTGAAAGCTCAACTAACTCAAACAGAAGAAGCTCTAGAAGAAGAGAAAAACACTCGCTTTCAACTAGAAAACGAGCTAAACCACATCCAACAAACCTTCAAACAACTTTCTGAACGAACAGAATCATTAGAATCCGATAATCAAAAGCTTAAAGCCACGGCAGAAGAAGCCGAACTACGTTCAGAACAACTAGAAAAAGACCTAGATGCTCAAAAGATTGCCCTACGTGTATTACAAACAAAACTAGATGTAGAAAGCTCAAAGGGAGACGAAGGTGAAGAAGTGAAGCGTCTGAATCAAGAACTCCAAAAGCTTCAAGAGCATTCGAACGAGTTGAGAGCGGCCGAAGAGAAGAAACGTGCTGAAATTGTGGAGAATTATCGAAAAGAAGTAGATGAACTACATGCGAGACTGAAGAAACAGGCTCAAGAATACGAAGAAGGACAATGGAGGTTGGAGCAACAGCATGGGGAGAGAGTGGAGAAGCTGGAAGGAGGCATGAACAAGAAGATCCGAGGCTTGGAAGTTGAGGTTGCTGAGTTGAAGGAGGAGAACGACACATTGAAGGTCGAGAATCAGAATTTGGAACAGAGACTGTAGGTTTTGGGAGGGTTTTACATGATGGAGTAGTTAAAGGAACTTTGTTTTAGAATTATTTAGCCAAAGATAATATATTTATTTTGTAATTTTCAGTCAAAACACCATGCCCTCATACAGCCCAGAAGAGATGGAAGAGCTTCTCCGAATGGTCAGCGACGGCCGAGAATCCCGCGACCATCTACAAGGCCTAGTCTCTCGACTAGCAGCCGATGTGGAATCGCTAGCTCATCAATCCAAATCTCCACAAACTCCGAATGGCCAAAAACAGAATCTTTACTCGAATACACCCTACGGCACGAACGACAAGGCGTGGGGATCAAGGAGAATGACAAAACAGGCTAAATATGGCAGATTTGAAGCTCAACAACAGCTTGAAGCCGAAATACGAGCGAAACAACAGGTTCAGGAGGACTTGAGGAAGATGAGGACAAAGTACGATGAAATGGAGAAGAATTTCCACATGACTAGGAGGAGGGTAAGGTTTGGTTTTTGGCTTTGTAATGAATGTTTACTGTTTTTAATGACAAATGCTGTAACGAAAGTTTGTGCAATTTAAAAATATTGTTACAGGTGGCAGAACTCGAGCGCTACGAAAGTGAATGTCAGGTTCTGCGGGAGCGACAGAATTATGAAATGTCACCTACCAGTAATCATCTGATGAATCCTTCATTCTTCAACACAATGAATCAAAATGAACTTGGTCCTGCCTATGGGTCTTTCAGTAGGTTTATTTCTATGTTGTGTACTAAATGTAATTGTGTTATATATAAGTAACGTTACTATCGGAGACCTCGCTACTTCTAAATTTTATTTTTAAATCAAAATGGACAAAGTTTTGGTCACCTGACAAAGATATTGAGATTTTGCGAATTTTCTTGATATCTTTGAGACCTAATGGTTTTTGGTAGTTTTATTGAAATTTGAAATCATTTTTTTAATTTTATTTTTTAAAATTTTTTAACTTTCAGAAACCCCATCCGAACGTCGTCTGATCTCCGAGTACGAAAGCCCCGTCCAACGCAACCTGAACTACATGCAAAGGTCTGTTAGTTTGACAACTTGACACTTTTGTTGGCTTTTGCACCTTTTTCGTTGTTTTTTTGTTTTGTTTACGCTTTCACTTTTGTTTATGTTTCACATTGTTTTGACTTACTTTTTTACGTTAGCACTTGATTTCGGTACAGTATGGTAAATTGGTTAAGAGGAACTAGGTGTAGTTGGCCATGAAAGGGCTCAGAAGAGGGTTATTTTGGCCTTTTTTGGTTTTTAGGTAGTTCTTTGACTTATATAGGCTTAGAGACTGGTTAGGCATATATCGGCTTACAGGCTGGTTTGGCCTAGATCAACCTAGTGCTGGAGAAAAAACTGGCTGGGAATAAAATTCAGGGTGGGCTTGAAAACCTAAAGGTAGTCTAACTAAACATCTTGTTTTGGACTGTAATGTAGTGGCAAAGGTTTAAGCTAATTGGAGAAAAACCCGGCTCGGTCATAAGTTAGATTTGGCCAGGCCATCACTTAGGTTTGGTTAGGCCATATGTTAGGCTTATTCAGGCTATAAGTTAGACTTGGTCAGGCTATAAGATAAGCTTGGTCAGACCAGACATTCTAGGCTTGGATGGTCAGAATAAAGGTGTTTTTTCAAATCCAATAGAATTTTAATAAAACTTTAGTGAAGTTAGGTTAAAACTCAGATTTTTTTGAATTTATGAAAATTTAATAAAATTAAAAAGCAAGTTTTAGAATTAAATATGGGTGGAAGTTGTCATTATTAGTGGTAGAATTGTCTTAGTATATTGTAGATCTTAAAAATAGTTGTTATGAGCTCAATCGTTGTACATATTATTCACTTTGCTCAGACTTTGCATATCTTTTATCTCACTTGAATGTTACAAATTTCACAATTTACGGTTATGTTGTTTTCTAGTTTTCGAAAAAGTTTTTTTTATTATTTGAAGGTTTTTTTAAATTCGAATTTATAGAAGTTTTGTGTGAAGCAAAAAGAATGGCGCGTTTTGATCCTTTGTGGTCATTAGAAGTTATTCAATTTGCTTTAGTGTACTAGACTGTCTTTGGAAATTCATTTTTTTTAAATTTTTTTTGAAAGGTTTAAAGCTTTAGGGCTAGTATTTTAGCAAAAGTTGAAAAATTTTAAATTTTGAAAGCATATCACAAAACTTTGAGCTCTTAAAAATGTCTTTTACCGCTATAGTCGTCTGGTCCTACTTTTTAACATTTATTTTTGTGATTTTATTGTGAATAAACACATGTTTTACACCTCACTTTGTCTTTTTTTTGCTTTGTTTTGCAATTTTACAAGTAGTTTTGGCAATGAAATAATCTTCATTTCGACTACATAACTTATAGTAGAGGTAAAGGTGTTGTAATATAGCATAAAATTCGAAATTTGAAATGGTTTGGGTATTTTCGTTGGGTGTTTTAGTTAGGAAAATAAATTGTACTTTATTTTAAAAAACTGAGTTGGGCTATGCACGAGTGAAATTTGTTTGTTTTTACAATTTATGTTAGTTACCGAAGTTGTTATAGGTATGTAGTATAATAAAAACTAAGGAGAACGTATTTTATGTTAACTGCAGCTAAAGTATTACTTGGTTTGCTTTATTTTTTTGCACTTTGTTCACTATATTATAGTATGAACAAAGTATTGTTGTTTCATAACGTGAGAACCTTTGTCTATGTACGGCAAGACTTTTTTACCTTTTACTAAATACAAAACTCTTCGCTTAAATCTAAAAAAATTAAATTGAACTTCTTTTTTTCAGTAATCCATCCTACGAGAACACTTTTTCATCAGCAAGTCCGTTGGCTTCATTCTATGCCGCTTCAACTCCAGAACCTCAACATCGGCCGAAAGCTCATCCCAAGTCAGTGCAAAGTATTAACAATGCTTTGAATGGAAAAGGCCATAAATTTGCATATGCTGTGTTGAGAGGACCGACCAAATGTGGCTATTGTTCTTCAATTTTGGTTGGTCTGGACCGGCAGGGTAAGGGGGAAGGGGTTGCGTTAAAAGGTAAGGTAGGGTAGGATAAAGTATTATAGGGTACGGTAGGGTAATATCCTATGGTAGGATAAAGTATGGCAGGCTAAAAGACTGGTTCAGTAGAATTTTAAAAATTTTTCGTTTTTTTGAAAATTTTAAAAAAGTTTTTTAATGTCTTATAGTAAGATATAAGCGTTTGTTGTTACTGTGAATCATTAGGGAACGTCTCAATAGATATTCAAGCAGATTAAACCACGATTTTGAGGCTTTATTTTTGCGTCTCGAGGCGTTTTTAGTCAATTTTTTTATAAATTTTTTTTTCGATATTAGTATAGGTTTTATGGGGTAAAATATTACTTAAAGTAATATTTTTAAGTATATTTTGGTGAATTTTAAGGTAAAATACGAGTTTACATATTTGTTTAATAAATATGATGTCTGAACTTAAACATAAACATAATACTTTCAGGAATGATATGCCAAGACTGTCACATCCCTTGCCACGTGAACTGTGTTTCCAAAATCCCCAACGATTGTCCGATAGCTGAAAAAGACCGCCGACCATTAGGTATCGATCCCCAAAAGGGCAAAGGAACGGCCTATGAAGGCTTCGTCAAGACTCCGAAGCCGGCTGGCATCAAGAAAGGCTGGCTCACGACCTATGTCGTAGTGTGCGACTTCAAGTTGTTCTTGTACGATTGTGTCTGTGACAAGCATGGCAAAGCCGTCCAAGTCGAGACCAACATCCGCCAAGTCTTCGACATGAAGGACCCCGAGTTCAGGGTGGATAAGGTTACGGAGAACGATGCGATCCACGCCTCAAAATCGGAGCTGCCAAGGATATTTAAAGTGACCTGTTCACAAGTTTGTGGCCCTCCAAATGGCAGTGACACGATGGGATCTCAGTCTTCGAACTCATCTACTTCATCTCCTCAAAGCCCGTTACGACAATATGCTCTACTGATGGCTGATACTAAGGAGGAAGCTTACAAATGGACTATAGCTTTGTGTGAACTAAAGGCTATGTCGACAAAGACGAATCTGGAAGTAAAGACGGCTTATGGAGTGAAGGAGCTAGTTGATATGACAGCTTTGCCAATGTTAAAGACTGCTCATTGTGGGGCATTGATTGATAATCAACGATTTGTGGTTGGCTTCCAGGATTGTGGACTAATGTGTGTGGAGCTGGAGAAAGAGGTAAGGGAAATGTTGAGAATGTTACTTCTTTTTAAAAAATGAATTGAAATTGAAAACTTGAATTTGATTTGAAAAAAGTTATGTTTTTGGATAAATGGTACTGGAGTTTAAAGAATAGTACTGTTTTCTATAATAGAGCGCTAATTTGTAAAAGAGTACTATTTTTTCATACGATTGCACTTTATATTGAAAAGTAGTGCAACGTGTGGTAAAGAGTACTATTTACTAAAAAACGGTACTATAATATATTTGGAAGAACATTACTATACTTTAAAAAATAATGTTATGTACGAAAAGTTAGTACTAGGTTTTGAAAGACGATACTAAATCCGAAAAAAGTACCATTTTTTTAAAGTTGTACTTTCTTTTGAAAGAGTACTATTTTTAAGACATGGTACAATTTTTTGGAAAAAATACTTTTTTTTAAATTGTACTTCAAAAAGACTATTATTAAAATAATCCTGTACCTCATGACCCTAAAAATTTGCTTTGAAAGAGATGGAACGAAATTAGTTGAACAACTTAATATTTCTTGACAGTGTTCTTATTTGAAAAACATCACCGTTATTTAAAAAAGGGTGTCGCATTAAAAAAAACAGTCCCACAGTTGAAAAGCAACACTATTTTTCACGGAAATTATTAATTTTATTTAAAAAAATTTTTTATAAATCCAAAAAATTTTACTGTTTAACTCATATTCTTCAGACAATAACCCCAGTCGGCGGAGAAAAAGAGAACAACAAGCGATTTGTCGAAAAAGTAGAGTACGACCAAGAAGAACAACTTCTGGTAGCAATCGTTGGCAATCAAAAGGATCGTCACGTCCGTCTGATTCCAACGGCCGCTCTGGACGGCCGAGAACTGAAATGGATCAAAGTGGCAGACACGAAAGGCTGTCATCTAATCTGTGTTGGCAGTGGTGCCAAAGGCCAACAACGAACCGAACCATCAGCCAATGGTGCTCCAGTCCCAACCCAAGTACCAAACCAATCAGCTCCACATTACTTTGCTGTGGCTGTTCAGAAGAGTGTGATTGTTTATGAAATCAATAGGCTGGAGAAGAGACATCACAGGCTGAGGGACTTTGCCATGCCCGCTTTGCCACAGACGATGAGAATCATTGGAGGAAGGCTTTATGTTGGGTATATGAGTGGATTCAGGGTCTGGGACTTGTTGGACAACTCACAGACTTGTAGGTTTACTGTTTGAAATTTCTGGGTAGGGTAGAGTAGTGTATGATCGGTTATTATAATCTATGATAATGTAAAATGCGAGTCTATTTTATAAATTTCAGCTCTAGTAAACCTAGAAGACGGTTCCCTTCAGTTCCTCAACAAAACTCTATACGATGCTCGTCTCCTAGTCCCAGTAGACGATTCAGACTTACCATCTCAATACCTTCTCGTATTCAATAATATGGCAGTCTACGTGGACGCCTACGGTCATCGTTCAGCGCCTCAGGAGATAATGTTCCCATGTAAAGTGGGAGAGAATGGATTCGCTTACCATGCTCCGTATCTTTGTTTGTACTCTGAGTATGAGATTGACGTTTTCCATGTACCAAGCGGTGAATGGGTACAGACGATCAACTTGAGGAAGGCACGACCATTGAGTGGAGATGGACTGCTGAGTTTGTGTTATGTGAATGACATGCCTTATCTGATCTATTTGAGTAGCCTTCTTGAAGGTATGTACTATATTTTGAAAAGTATTACTATATTGTGAAAAATGGTACTAAATTTTGAAAATTAGCACTATTAAGGACTAAAATTTTTAAAAATTAAAATTTTTTTATATTTGAAAATTGAATTTTAGCTCCAGAATCGCAACTCTACGTCCCACCAACCTGTCAATCCACGATAACATCAGCCAAGGGCGTGCAAAAACGGCGGCGAAAGTTTTCGGTTCGAACGGCCAGAGACGACTCACAAAGTCGAAGCGATCGAAGATCCGCTCTCCCAATCTCAGGGCCTTCAGGCTTCGTCCACGTGGTACACATGGGACCGGGAAGTGTGCACGATCTTCAGAACCATCTCATGGATCTGAGAAGCCCGAACTCAACGAATAATACCGGGAATACTAGTGGCTATAGCTCGGAAAAGGTAGGGTAATATAGGTTTTGGAAAGCATTTTTGGGATTTTTCAAAATTTTGAAATAAAAAACTTTTTTTGAAATACAGTGGAACTCCTGTATAACGAATCGCTCGGGGACTTGAAATTTGTTCGTTATAAAGGAGTTTCGTTATACAGGAGTTTTAAATGCACTGTGCAGTGGTAGACGGGAATTTAAAAGTTGTTCGTTATACGAGAGTTTCGTTATAGAGGAGTTCGTTATACAGGAGTTCCACTGTATTTGATTTATTTTTTTTTAATTTTTGCTTTTAATCAAGGTATAATAGGAAATATATTTTTTTCGAATATTTGATTTTGAATGCAATTTTTTTGTTTTGTTCGATATTGTAGTAGAGGTCAATATTGTGATAGTGGTTGATTGATATCGTGAAATATAGTGGTAGTTTGAGCTTTTTGTTGTTATAGGAAGGTAAAATGTAGTACGATAAATATATACGGCTTGAAACTTAATTTTATTTATGAAGTATCAGCTGATAAATAAGTTTTGTCGTCATTTCACTATGTTTTGCATGGCAATGTACGACAAAACTTTTTTAAAACGTTTTTATGTGGGGCCTTGACCAAAAGATATATTAGGTTGTGAAAATAATTCTGAGCCACTACTAAAAGCTAAGTTTTGCGGTCAAGGGGGCTCAGAATTATTTGAACAATCTAATATTTTACTTTTTTAAAGTTTTTTGGTTTTTTTAGTAGTTTTTGATTATTTTTGGGTATTTAAAATAATTAAATATTTTTTTTCAATGAATTTTGAATCTATCTCTAATTTAATCACCTAACCCTTCAAACACTTAATTTTTCCGAACTAACTGGGTTTTCTTATTTGGTGTTTTAGACGCGCTACCCCAACATTCAGGCCGTCCAACGGTCGGCTAGTGCTTCAGCTTCATCACAACACGGTCTGGGAGCGGTGCTTCATCAAGGCTATCATCACAGCCTACAACAACAACGCCCGTTGAGTTCACATAGCCGAAACTCGGATGGTAAGCTGTAACTCTGTCGTTTTGTATGGTAACTTTGTTCATATAGTAATTTTAAAGTTCTATTATATAATACTGATTAGTACTAGTACATAGTACTTTTTAGTACAGTATTATAGTGTTTTATAATGCTATGGTATTTACAGCTTTATAAAATAGTGCTTTATAGTACCATAATCTAGTATTATCATGTAGTACGATAAAACTGCTTTACAAAGTACTATAATTTAATACTACGCAGTATTTATATGTTGCTTTATATGTTGGTGATTGGGTGTGGTAGTTGGCTTTTTCTATGGCGATGGTGTTTCTTTAAGTTCTAGTTTTTTAAAAATTTTTGTGAAAATTTGAAAAAAAAATTTTTGTTATACTGTTTACTTTACCCGGTCTGTGTTAATTTAGGGCCGGACTGGGCCTAGTAAGCCCTCTTTCAGATCGGATTGCTTTTGATATTTTCTTGGTTGAGTATGATGTTGTTGTAATGGTTTTTGCTTTCTTTTTTAGTTTTATTTAAAAATTTGAACTGTGAATAAAAAAAATTTTTTGGAATTTTGAAGGTCATTTATTATAAAATAAAAAAATTTAAATTTTAAAACAATAACAAATGTAACAAAGTTTGACTGAAGTTGATTAACACTGCTTTCAGGATCATCATTAGGCAAAGACTCGAGGTATCGAGACTCATCGCTGTCACAATCCAACATTACAGTATCTTCAAGCACAATAGGACTCAATGATTCTATGGACAGTTACTATTTGGTGAGTTCATGATGTCTGACACTTGAGGTCAATAATTAAGTATTGAATGGGTTAGGTTGTTCAACTAATTCTGTGCTTTCTATCAAGGCAAATTTTTGGGGTTAAAGGGTACAGAATTAGTTGAACAACCTAATAGTACTAACTTTTTTCATTTTTTGAAGTTTTTTTTAGTTTTTTTAAAAAATATTGGTAAATGTTTGTATAGTAATGTGAATGTACTGTAATATTGTGAATTGTTACGGTATTTTCAAAGTTTTTAAAATTGTGAAATGTTTTGTTTTGTCTATGTTAATATCGTACCAGTTTATTCGGAATCCGTATTTTACATTGATTATCATTTTTTAATTAAAAAAAATTTCTTTTGAAACCTTAAAACCTAACCAATTTAAACCAACAACCCTCATTCCAGGAACCGATCTCTTCAACAAGGTCGGCCAACTCGTCCACCCCGAACGCCTTAAAACCGCTGCAACAGCCACCACCCCCACCGCCGCCCAGTCAAGCCCCACCCCCGGTACCAGTCGCTACCACAGTCTCCTGCGACCGCCATGGCGCAAACCCAAGCCGAATCATCCCCACCGAATAAGCGCCTCCATGTCACCGCCATTGTTGCATCGGGTGTTCGACCGGTCGAACGACTTCAGTGAGCGAATGACACGGTCCGAGTCGGAAGCGCTCAAGAACTCGACCGTTTCGTTCATTTGAATTCGACTCTAAAGTTTCACTACGCGGTAGATTTTTGATCTTTATATTGTAGGTATACTGTAGAGTCTTTGTGGTATGTGGGTATACAGTAGAATCAATATTGTATGACGGTTTGCTTGTTGGGAGTATACTGTATGTAGCCGTACTCTAGGGTCTCGATGGTCTGAAGGTTTACTGTAAGGTCTTTACTGTGTGTGGGTACGCTGTAGGGTCTATACGGTAGTTGGATATATGTATTTTTGAATATAGTATACTCTATACAAAAAATTGACTTATTGTATGTCTATATATTGTTCTTTTTTGCCAATTTTTTCTTGATTTGGTACTTTTTTTTCTTTTTTAGTCTATACTTTGTACCTTCTAGCTATGTTTTCTACTATCGTATTGCTTTTTGATACTGTATCTTACTATAAAATTGTTTTGGTATAGCTTTTTTCTTGTTTTCATAACCTTATTCTAGCGTTTTTGTAAATTTATTACGAGTTTTGTTCTTACTTTTATCTAATTTTACTTCTTTTTTAGTTTTTAAAGCCTTTTTTGAACTTTAAAATTGTCTTAACTTGCTGTTTTTGTAACTTTAAAAGGGTACTGTAGATTCGAAAGGTATACTGTAATTTTTGAAAATACATAATATTGTTTACTGTAATGGTTTAAAGGTTAATTGTGGTGTTCCAAAGGCATATTATAGGTATTATCAAGCCATACAACACTGTCTTTAGTGATTACTGTATTGTTACGGTGCTTTTAAAACTGCATTGTACGATTTAAGGCTACAGTAACATCTAAAAAACCTTTTTGTTTAAATAAATCTTGAAAAAAGTTACAGTAACCAATCTATAGCACCTTTTTTCAACATATACCTTTTAATCGGACGCATGAAAATATTTTGTTATCCTTTACAGTATAACCGTGTGACTCTTTCCCCATAATCTTCTCCATACTGTAACTAATTTATCAGCTTTTTTCAGCACCTATTTGTTGTCTTATTACCTATTTCACATTTTAACCATCTTCTTCTCTTAACTCGTAGATTTAGATATATTGATTTCAAATCGATACACTTAAAATTTATTTTTTCGTCATTACAGTGTAAATTATCGTATAATAAAAATTTTGAAAATTCAATTGGGAGTTGATATTTAAATTGGCATTTTTAACATATATTCAAGGTACTATTTAGTACGAACTTATGAAAGTCAAAATATATGCCATAAATACTCTCATAATGACATTTTATATAAGATATACGGCTTGAACAACCGTTATAAATTCTATGTACTATATAGTACAAAAAGTTAGTGGTAGTACGAATACAGAACCAAAGTCGTAGTAAGATATACGGCTTAGAAAATAGTTAAATTCTCAACGTGCTATTAAGTACGATAAAACAGAATTCAAAACATATGTCTGAAACAGTCTCAAAATGACATTTCTTTTGAGATATAAGGCTTCGCCAACCCTTACACACTTAATGTACTATATAGTACGAGCGAAAGTACTTAAAGCAGTAACTATGACAGTACGATAACAAATCGAAAGCCTTGAGTTCCGAAGTAAAGCTTTGAAGTAACTTGGTAAGTTTTCAAACTTTGTCGTAAGGTTCAGATAATTTACTGTTATAATGAATAGGGGGATCGGTTTATTCTGCCTACCAGTGTTCCCACGGGCTCCGAAGCTAGAGCCAAAGCTAAAATTTAAAAAAAGGCGAAGCCGGAGCTAGAGCTGGAAATTTGAAATTTGGGAACTCTGCTCCCTACTATAACTAAAGTCAAGTAGGATAGTTTAGGATCAGATAGTGGAGCGTAGAGCAGGAGAAAGTAAGGTAAAGCGTGTAATTCAAGACCACGTAGAGTGGAGTAAAGGTAGGTTAAAAAATATACTCAACATTTCAGTTTCACGTGAACCTTTTTAAAAATCCTATACAGTTTATAAAAACCGCTTTTTGAAAATCAAACTCAAAATTCAAAGTATTAATAAAAACTACTTCTAACTCTTTGTAATATCAGTTACAGACTGATACGGATTATTCGTTTAGTATAATAAAAAATCAACGCAACAGTTTGTAAGTTTAAACTTTTTCTTTTAGTGGCATTTTTATAGTTTTACTTTGTCAAAAGTTATAGTTACAGCGCAGTAAAGTTGTAAAATTTAATTTTCGAAATTTATTTTTTACGCCTTTAGGTAATAATAATATAAATTTGTAAAAAGTCTTTAAAATGCCCTTTAAAATAGTTTAAACATTGTTTTTCTCAATTAAAATTTTAATCTAATTTGACATTTTTGATTAAAACAAGGTTAAAACAATGATTTTCAAATAAATTTTAAAGTTTTTATGTCTGACCTTTGTTCTCCTGACTATTTGACTTGTCCAGGGGTGATAAAACGAGAATTGTAAAAAAGAACGTTCGAAAAAAAAAACGAACTGTCTCACCGTTCTGATCTGTTACTTTTTATACTTTGCAACCGTTTTGTATTTGAGAGGAATTGAAGAGGTACTATGGTATTAAGTTTGAAAAATTGTTAAATATTTTTTTTCTTTAGTACTATGTCTGGTTATATATCTAGGTTTAGCTGTTAGCCTAGCGTTAAGTCGGGCCTTAGCGATGGGATTATCTTAGCTTTGACTTAGTCTTAGCTATAGTCTTAGTTCTAAACATAGCTTAAGCTTTAGCTCTAGCCCTATCCCATCTTTAGACCTAATCCTAGTTATAGTACCAGTCATAGTCTTAACTTTAGTACTTTCTTTTTTTGTAGCCTTAGCTTTAGCTTTAGATCTAGTCCTGAATATAGTCCTAGGTTAGTTTTAGCTCTAGTTTTAGCTCTAGCTCTAGCTTTAGCTCTAGCGATCTAGTTTAAAATTTAATTCTAGTCATAGCTTTAGCACTAGCTTTAAGTCTAGCTTGAGTTATAGTTTTAATCATAGCTTTAGTACTAGCTTCCGCCTTAGCCCAAGTTATAGTGATAGTCTTAGCTTTATCACCATCTTTATTGCCTAACCTTAACTCTTATTTTACTCTATCCGTTTCTCTAGCCATCACTCTAACCTTTTTCTTGGCTCTAGCTTTAGCCTCAGCCCTAGCCTTGACCTTAGTTTTACCCCCAGCATTGGTTTCAGCCTTAACCCAGCCCGACCCTATGTACAGTTTTTTTTGCTTTACTCTAGTAAAAATTACGTTGAAATACAACCATAGTATACTGTATGTATTTTAAAACGTTTAGTGTAAAATTCAAGAAAAGTCTTGAGTGCTACCAAACCCATAAACCTTATCAAATAACGTCTTTCAAAAACCAATTTATCGTTGTAAGTTTTTGTCAAATAAACACATTCTTATTAATAATATTATTCTTTTCAACATTTTTGTGTAAAATATTATTATAGGTAGTTCAAATAGTTCTGGGCTCTTTAATTCCAAAAATTTGCTTTGGGGTACAGAATTATGTGAACCTTAATAGTCAATGGTGTGAATATACTTCTTTTACTGCCCGAATAAGTAGTATACAGCGTTCCATGAACTTGCGATCTCAAAAAGTAAAGTATCATGTTTATTTTTGACTGTACAGTAAGATACAGATTCGTTTTATTGTTTGTCATTCGCTTTATTTGTCTTTCGGCAACAACAAATTTACAAATAAATTGTATAAATAAAGGCTTTAACCGTTTTACAAGCTTTGACTACATTATTTGATACAAAGTAATGATGGTTTTTTGAGTTTTGATGAGAGAATAAAATAAAATAAAACTTTGATTTTTTGTGACATTTTGTTTACTTGTTATTGGAAAATTAGTGATTAATGATTGAAATAAGTTTTTATGTTATTGTGTATATAAATAGTGTTGTATTCAACAAAATTTTTAAAATTTATGCCATTATTTTTATAAATTTTTAAAGTTTTTTTTATAAATTATTTGTGAATTAAAAAAACTAAAAAAATATTGTTAATTCTATCTAAAAACGTATTTTTTTGTTTATATCTAACCATTTTTGCACATTTGCATCATTATAACCACCGGCGTTACAACTGTGTGACATTTCGTTTGCTTACAATTGGTTTGTGGCATTTTGTTTACTAACAATTGGGAGCGATTTTTTGAGAAAATAAACATTAATTTCGTTACTTTTTCCATTACTCTACCATCAAATCACCGTAAAAAAAGACTTTTTGATATTTTTAAAAATTTACTTTTATTTTTGAAATTTTTCATTTTTTTTAAAAATTTTTTGTATTTTAGGTATACCTACTATAATATCCTTATTCTCGTGTCAAACCACCTCTAATTCACTTGCTTTTTTTCTATCCTGTTCAAATTTGTGTTGTGTTTGAACTTTGAAAGACCATGTTTCAGACTGTCAACTCTGATGTTTGTATAACTTGTTCATAACAATATAAAAACAGTCTGAAGCTGTGAATTTACTCAGTAAATCCGTTGATCTCACACCAAAATCATGACACATAATAACAAGATTCATCCGATTGGGTTGGACGAGACGATACGAGAGATGGAGGGCGCAGAGAGAGTGGAGAAGAAGGAGAGACGGAATCTGAAGGAATTTATGAAAAAATACTTTCTGGAAGGTAAGTTCTTGCCGTTTTTAGAAGGATGTTGGTTTTAGGTGATATTTTTGTTTTGGACAGGGGTGATTTGATTAGTTTTGGAGTTTTAGGTATAGTTTTTTCATGATGAAGCATTTTAGGTAATATTTTAGAGGTTTTTCAAATTTTAGGTAAAATTTTCGAATTTTTAAAAACTTTAGTACTATTTTTCAATGTGGAAGAGTAAAATTTGCATTTTCTTTGTATTTTAGGCAGGACGTTTTAAATTTAAAATTTTTAAGCAACCTTTTTCAATTTTTTAAATTTTAAATAACATTTTTCAATTTTTATAAGTTTCGGCACTGTTTTTTGGTGTGTACAAGCAAAATTAGTATTTTAGTCATGGTTTTTCATTTTGAAGCCTTTTAGGTAACATTTTTTAGTAGTTTTCGAATTTACAATTTTAAGGTATCACTGATAATATTATTGTAGGTCAACGCCTGGATAACAAATTACAAGAGAAAATAGACGCCCAAGGAAGGGAGAATCTGTCATTTCATGAAAAGTACCGTAAATACCTAGCATTTTTGTTACCCTTCATATTCTTCCAAACGTGCTGGTGGTCGTTGGCAATAAGAAACAACTTGTTCGCTTTATATCCCACAAGATACGAAATGGCTATTACTATGGTATTGGGGGCTTTAGTATCTGGTAGGTTTGGAATGGCATTTTTGGTTAAAAATGGCAGGAACTTTGTTTACAAGGCGATAAATGGCAAAGAACACAAAAATATTTTTCATCGTATAACTTGTAACACGCAGCTGCAGCTATCACTTTTTTCGACATTTTGATTAAAAATAGCAAGAACTTTCTTTACAATGCAAAAAATGGCAAGAACTTTCTTTACAAAACCTAAAATGGCAAGAAGTTTCTTTAAAACGCAAAAAATGGCAAGAACTTTCTTTACAAAACAAAAAATGGAAAGAACTTTCTTTACAAACTAAAAAATGACAAGAACTTTACTTCCAAACCAAACTTGAAAAAACTTTCTTTCCAGGAGCAACATCAGAAGGTGGTGGAGCAGTAGCCTTTCCAGTGATGACATTACTACTTCATATTCCATCAGAAGTGGCACGAGACTTCTCTCTAATGATTCAAAGCTGTGGCATGGCAGCTTCTTCATTTTCCGTAGTTTATATGAAGGTCAAAGTGGAATGGCATTCGATTATCTTCAGTTCATTGGGAGCCTTCTTCTCCATTATATTGGGATTGCAGTTTTTGGATGACATTATTGATGGTAAGCACAGAAATTTTTGAAAAATATATTTTAGTACTATATAGCACTATAGAAGGAACTTTTTCTTTTTTTGGCTTATTGCATGCACAATTTTTAAAAATATTACCTAAAATTTTCAAAAAACCTCAAAATTTCAGGAAGTCAAAAGAAGATGGTCTTTGTGTCGATTTGGTTTGCATTTGCCATATCTTTGCTCATCCTCAACACCCAAAAGAAGCGTGTAACCTACGATGAGATTCCAGAATTCGGCCCAAAGAAAGCCCTGATACTATTCTGTACTGGACTTTTCGGAGGCCTTTTAAGTGCCTGGACTGGCTCTGGAGTCGACATCTGCTCATTCTCAATCCTAACCCTACTATTTCGAGTATCAGAGAAAGTGGCAACCCCAACTTCAGTCGTCCTGATGTGTTTGAACACCTGGGTCGGCTTCTATTGGCGTCAGCTGATTCAGAAGGACGTCCCTCAACTGGCATGGGAATATTTCTCCGTAGCCATGCCTGTAGCTATTACTTGCTCACCAATTGGAGCTCTGTTGTCTTCACATCTTCATCGACAGGTCCTGGCTTGCTTTGTTTATATTCTGGAGACGACCGCCTTAATTGGCTTCTTGATCACGAAGCCAGCGTTGCATCTGATAGTTATTGGAGCTGGAATCATCGTTGTGGCGTGAGTTTTTTGGTTGTATTATACTTGTAATTTCTTTTTTTTGCTTGGTAGGGGCAAAAAAAAAACAAAAAAATTTGGGCGTGGTAAAAATTTCTTGGGAGGGGTAAAATTTTCCGGGCGTGGCAAAGCGATTCCTGGGACAGAAATCTCTTTAGGAGCGGGGAAAAGAGTAAAATAGTAAATATTTCAATTTCAGTGTCCTGTTCTTCTTGTTCATCAGCTACATGGGACGACGAATGAGTGAACAGCACGAACTGAAAATCCAACCTCAAGATGTCTCTCGACCTGGCTCTTCCACTACCTCTACTGTATACACGATTGAAGCTGCTGCTTAACTATACTTCAAAGAAATAAATAATTTTATACTTTTTAAATCACATTCGTCAAGGTAGGCAAGCAACTTTGTGCTTCTATATTCGTAAATAACGAAAAGCTTGAGTTTTATCTATTATACTATGATATAAAAAGATGTTGATTAAAATGTAGTAAAATTGTTTTTTTTTAGTTCAAGCTTATTTTTATGATGAAAGTTTAATTTTAAGCCATTTGTATTATATCTTGATTTTTTCAAAAATTTTTGCTTGCGGGCCTGGCCTGAATGTTGGACTCGGCCCAATTTCATACGCGTAAACGGGCCGTTTTGGCCGGTTCCTCATGTCTAATTTTTGGGGCAGTCTTATTGTTTTTTCAACTCAACTTCAAGGTTTGTGTCCATTGCGGTTTCCAAGTTTTTATACAGTACTCTCTCTATATAAGCAACCCAAAGGGACTGGCATTTTGTGTTTACTATAGGGTGTAGTTGCCTTCACAGGGTAATGTTTTAGTGCAAATTGAATTGGTGGGGCCAAATTTCTTGTTGACTATCAGGAGACTTGCTTATAGCGATGGTTCACTATATAGAGAGAATACTGTATGTATTATACTTGAGGTTAATGTTGTCCGAAGTTTTCATAGAGCTGGTGGTAAATAGTGTTTCAATTCTTGAATATGTTTCTTAGATGGTTGATTTTTACATTTTTTGACTGTTTGGAAATAATTTTAATATTTTTTGACGTGTTTTAGGTTCTTACGGTCAAGTGTAATATAATTTTGACCTTTTCCGAGTTATTTTTCTTTTTTATTTTGTTAAAAAAATTAAAAAATAAGAAAAAACTTATTTAAAATAAAACTTGGACTGTTGGGCATTGAGATGGTAAGCAATTATAAATTTTCTTAATTTTATCTTTGTTCAAAGTATAAATGTTTATATCTTGCTGAAGACATGGCAAAACTAGAGTTTTTAGTATTACAGTAACAGAACTTTTGGCGCACCCTGTATATGTTTATGTTCTCTTTCATCTGGGAATGAATGTTTGTTCATTTATCGAAGCATCAGTTATAATTTTACTATTTGCGGGCAAGGACAAAACGCTATTTTAATTAAAACTTCGAAATTATAACTTTATGGTGCTCTTTTGTAAGATATTTTATGTAGTATTAAACTTCAAACGAAAATATTTGATACATATCGCTAATTAATAACACTATTAAAGTCAAAACTATATATTGGTATTATCAATATAAATGGCATTCAATAACTTCATTATAAAAACTTTGATTTTTACAAGATTTTCATATCAAAATGAACTTCTATACAGCAGCAATTACTGCAGTATGTTTGTTACCTTTTGTTTGTTACGCTCAAGATGGACCAACAATTGCATGTGAGGATGTACCACCTGTATTCTGGTGCAAAAACAAGAACATATCGGAGTTGTGCAATGTTACTGACAAGTGTAACACTTACTTTAAGAAGAGTAACGAAAAGAAGATTTTGTTGACAGTTTTGTACGAAATCTTGTGTCAAAGCTGCGCGCAAGTTATCAGTGGACCATTAAAGGAGGTTTACGAGACGCGCAAGGACCAAGTTGACATTGAATTGGTACCATTCGGAAATGCGCGTTACAATGAGGTAAGGGACAGCAATGAAAGGCTTTGTACGACCGGTAAAGCTTTGTAACAGAACTTTTGGCGCACCCTGTATAGACTATACCTATATCTATTTTTGTACAGATGATACTTATATCAACTCTTACAGACACTAACTACAGTAGAGATATGATTAAATAAGGCAAAAGCAAAAAATATTTTTAGGACGGATCACTATCGTGTCAGCACGGTGTAGAAGAATGCAATGGAAACAGATACGAAGCTTGTGCTATCAACTTCATCGAAGATTATTTTCCATTTATTGCTTGTGTTGAAGGAAATATTGAGTCGTTTGATTTTGAGGCTACAGCCAAGAAGTGCTACGCCGATTTAAAGACACCTGATGACGTGGTAAAGCAGATTGAGTAAGCGTTTATTGGATAGAGGGTATGGTAAAGTGGATTAGAATAGATGAGAGTATTTTGGAGTTGGGTAGGGTAGGGCATTTTGGGATAAACGGCAATTGTTTGCGGTAGGATAGGGTAAGGTAGAATAGCATACGGTAGGGTAGGGTAAGGTAAAGTAAAATAAAGTAAGGTAACTTAAGTTAGTGTAGAGTAGAGTAATGTGAGATAAGTTAACTAGAGCTACGGTTAAAGGTTACTGTAAAATTTAAAAATAAAATTTTAGAGAATGTTATAATGGCCAACTCGGCCACGATTTGATCAAAGCCAACTCCGAACGTAGTGTCAGTGCGGAAGGAATTAAGTATGATTTCGTACCATGGATCTTTATCAATAATGTCAGCAGTTCAAGATTCAGTTTAAATTCAATGTTTGACAATAACCTTTTGACATTTATTGATGAATGGCATGTCAAGGGTGAATTGACTTTGTGATATCACTTACTCCAGTTTTTTGTTTGAAAAATAATAAATAAATTTTATTTTTTGGTTACTTTAGCTTCTGTTACTCTACTTTACCCTGCCCTATTCTAGCTTTACTTTTGGTTTTGGGATGTCTCTAACCCTTACCCTAGCCCTACCTCGCAACCTTTTTATCAAAAAAATATTTTTTTATTGCCCTGCCCTAGTGCCACTTTAAATAACCATCTGTTTTTATGTTCCACGCCAATTTGAGTGCTTACGCATCAATGCCATTTGGAATGCAAATCCTTGCACCTCCAAATAAATTCGAAATGATTCAGATTCCTCTTTTTTAGGAGTTATGTGTAGCTGATAAGGGATTATGTTGCCATGTATTTTTGTTTTGTTGTTTGTAAATAGTCTGGCAGTGCCGTCATGCGAGTGTAAGTGAGGTTTGGTTTAGTGCTAAAACTTTTTTTTCAAATACATCTGGGCAGGGCTAGGCCAGATAGGATAGTTCAGGGTAGGTTAAGGTCAGACAAGTTAGGATAAAGTAGTGTAGGATATAGTATGCTACAGTAGGGTATGTTAGGGTAGGGCAGGGTAGAGTAGAGTAGGTGGTAAGAGGTTGGGTAGAGTAGAGTATGTAGGTGTAAAGCATGTTAATGTGGTTTATAAAGTACGAAAGCTTTAAAAAAGTTTTGTCGTTTTTCTTCATTTAAACGTATGTAAATCGGCGCCAAGACTTTTTTAACGCTTTAAGTGGGTATATATGAAGCGGGTAAACTAGTTTTATCTAACAAAGGAGTAGGAGAAATTGAAGAAAAAATATTTTTGAAACGGGGGCCGGGGTACGGATGTAAATTTTTAAATTTTTTTAAAATTTTTTTTTGAAAAAAGTTGAAATTGGCTTTTTCGAATCTGCATTTTTCTAAATTTCTAAATTTTAAAATTTTCTTTTATCTTTTGACAGGGTAGATCAACATATATTACAATATAAATATATGTAGATATATATATAGATATAATCACTTATTTCAGTAAAAGAATGCGAACGATGGATAATAACAATCGTGCCAATGTTCACGGAGAGCTTTAGCCAAATTAATGTGTTACACTCATTAACCAACATTCTACTCGAGGACTGTGAATGGTATCTGGGTTATGTTCATGTCTTTTTCCTCGACAAATACGGTCGATTAAGGCCGTTGGTGGACCCTTCTAACTTTGATACGATTGACGAAAATGTCAGTTTTTAGGTATTATTACTATTATATCGTTTATATAACAGGTATTTCGCATGATCAACAGTAGTGTCGGGCAGGGTAACTATTTTAAGAAAGTGGATAGGAGGTAGAAAAGAAAATTGTTTTTGAAATGTAAAAAATTTTTTGAAAGCGTGGGGTGGGGAAGATATAAAAATTGATTTTGGTATAACTAATGTAGTGACATTTCAGTTCGCCGACTACAAATTTACAGAAAACGAAACAGCGTCGGCTTACATCAAAGGAACGTTGATAGCGATTCAGAAAATGCCACCAGCCGAAGAGGGAAATGGTCGATATATATTTGCTGTCACTGATTTTGAACAAACTAAAGGTCAGTTAGCTTTGATAAAGAGTTAGGTAGAGGTTACAGAAGGTTAGAGGTAATGGTAGGGTAGGGCTAGGGCAAGAACATTTATCAAGACTAGAAAAATGAATAAGAACTTGACTAATATTAGGACATAGACGAGGATTAAGACTACGACAAGGACCGAGAGTAGTGTTAGGACTAGAGCTAAGGTCATGAATAGTATTAGGACCAGGACTAGCACAATGACTAGGACCTGGACTAAGACTAGGGCTAAAACGATGATTAGGACTAGGACCAGGATCAAGACTATGACCAGGACTAGGGTTTGGGCGAACTAGGGCTTGAACTATAGCTAGACCATGACCAAGAGAAGGACTAAGACTAGGAGAATAACTAGAATACTTCAGGGTAGAGTGATGCAAAATAAACTAAAATATCATGTTTTTTAATTTTTATAACTGTTTCTTTTAGCTAAACACCAAGCCGAGATGATGGGCTTAATAGACAACGAGCTAATTTCAAAAGGTATTCTATTCCGAACCTTTAGTATAGACATTGAATCAACAAATCTAGACCCAAGTTCTATATTCACGATTGATACTCGAACCAACGCTCAAGGATCGAATATTTTAAGTTTACAATTACGAGAGACACAGTCTGTAGTCAATCAGGTACGACCTTGTAAACCATTGACTGTGCAACAGAAACTGGCTGGACTGACTTACGAGAAACGGTTTCATTTGCGTTACATGATTCTTCATAGTAAGTTACTTTACATTACTAAGGTAGTGTAGAGTGGGTAGAATAGGGTAGGGTAAGGTAGGGTAGGGTAGGGTAGGGTAGGGTAGGGTAGGGTAGGGTAGGGTAGGGTAGGGTAGGGTAGGGTAGGGTAGGGTAGGGTAGGGTAGGGTAGGGTAGGGTAGAGTAGGGTAGGGTAGGGTAGGGTAGGGCGTATTAAAATAAATTTAAAAAATTTTGTTACAGTAACTCCCATTCTTTTAGACCCAAACGAATTTTACATTGGAATGATATTTTTTGGTCTAGCCATGATACTAGCCATTGGAGCACTACTATATAAAAAATGTATATTAGATCGTCGAATAGAATACAAAAACATGAAAAGATAACATAATATGGTGCAATATTATACTCTACTGCATTGTAAAGATAAATAAATGTAAAATATGGTGTATAAGATTGAGAAAACTTTAAAATAAGCTGTAAAACATCTATATTAAGATATCAAGTAAGTCTTGTCGTCAATTTACATTGGTTTGTTATGTGAAAAACGACAAGACTTTTTTTTGTTCATATGACATTTCTTATAGTATAGACTACAATAATACATTAAAAAAGTCTTGTTGTTTTTTCATATGCAAATAAATGCTAATTAACGACAAGACTTTTTAGCATCTATAGTACTATAGTAATGACCGCATTAATAGTACTTTATAGTATAGTATAAATTAAAATTCATTTTCTTAGTATAGTACTGACCAAAAAGTTCATTTTAAAAGGGCATTATAAGAAATTGAAGTAAAAGTTGGTATGTTTGTTTTTCCAAATAGCCAAATTCAATTAAATTAAGTAACATTCAAGCTCTACTGCACTTGTCTGCGAGTTTATATAGTAGAATGAACGTAATAGGCTGGCTCTTGAAAACGAAATAGTACGTTATTATTTCGTTTTTAATGTTTGAATTTGAAAAATAAGGTGGAATGCAGGGGGAGGGCGGGGTAGAGTTCAGATAGTTTTAGGTAGAGATAAGAAGAACTGAGAGCAGTGCTTGTCTATGATAGTAGACGGTGCGGTAAGGGTACCGCATACTAAATTAAAGGTAACTTGCAGTGAAGTGTTAGGTGTACTATAGAAATGGAGGTGGGAGGGGTGAATTGGGTTTTTATTGAATTGTGGAGAAGATAGTGCAGTGGTGAAGAAAGAAGGGTAATATAATAAAGGAGTGGGTATTTTAGAATAGGGTAGGGTAGGGTAGGGTAAGGTAGGGTAGGGTAGGGTAAAGTAGGGTAAAGTAGGGTAGGGTAGGGTAGGGTAGGGTAGGGTAGGGTAAGGTAGGGTAGGGTAGGGTAGGGTAGGGTAGGGTAGGGTAGGGTAGGGTAGGGTAGGGTAGGGTAGGGTAGGGTAGGGTAGGGTAGGGTAGGGTAGGGTAGGGTAGGGTAGGGTAGGGTAGGGTAGGGTAGGGTAGGGTAGGGTAGGGTAGGGTAGGGTAGGGTAGGGTAGGGTAGGGTAGGGTAGGGTAGGGTAGGGTAGGGTAGAGTAGGGCAGAGTAGCGTAGTATACTGTATTGTAGGCTAGGGTGAAGTAAAAGGTGTTGGTCTGGCCTACTGTTAAATCTAGGGTGTTTTTTTTTAATCTAGGTTTTTTAACGTAAAATCTACAGTATGACAAGTTTTGTCATACCTTGTATTATGATCTCTTCATGTCTATGCCAACTTTTTTTATTGAATTTGAGTGCAAATGGCATTCAGGAAAAACAATTTTTTAACTAGGAAATTATGTAGATTTTGTTTTTGTCTATAAAGTGACAATTACATTACATTCATCAAGTTTTTCTTGAAAACATGGTATTATAAGTACGTACATGTTATGAATAAGGTTGTACGTAAGTTTTGTTGTTCTTAAACTTTTTTTTATTTTAACTTTCTTTTATCAGTCGATATGTCAAGTTATTTTATTAAACAACATTATATACATATTATGTTAAGTTCAATATAGAAAAAATTAATCTGTAAAACAATTTACATATATGTTATCATAACTAATAATTAGTAAGTTCAAATAGAGAAACTTTTTCTTTATGTTATTTATTATGTTCTCACGGTACAAACTGTGTAATTGCAAGGATAATTGCATACTTAATATTGATAATACTGTTTTTTAAATTTTACTTTATATTTTATAACATAATACGAGAACTTTTGGCGCACCCTGTATTAGGTGCCGACGTAAAGAACCTGCCATTTTTACAGGAAATTACAGGAAAGTATGGCGGGTTCTTCATGTCGGCACGTAATATTAAACATAAGAAGCGGGCCTGAAAAATGGGCTTGGCCCGTTTCTCATGTCTACCTAATATTAGTTTTGAACTTTTCAGGTATGAGACATTGGTCTAGTGAAGGGGGGAAGGGGGGTGGCCCGCAAAATGTTTTTTTATTAAAATTTTTTATTTAATTAGGTTGGCCCAAAAGTATTTAAATTATTAATGGCTTTGGATAAATATTTTATATTTGATTTTTGATCATGCGATAAGTCTTTTGTAGCACGCCACTGAGGGCTAGGGCTGGAGCTCGGGCTAGGGCTAAAACAATACTAGGACTAAAGCTAAGACTAGGACTAAAGCTAGGACTAGGGCTGAAGGGGCAGTCTCCAAAACTCACGAAAAAACTTGTTTTCCACGAATACCAATATTTTTTATTTGCTCAATGGCATCTTCAGCATATTCTCCTTCCTAATTCAAAAGTCCACATCTTGCTGCCGTCTCATTTAAATTTTAATGCGTTTTTTTGAAGCCTTCACATAACGTTTGCCTAACTGAATACTAATAGAATGTCCACTTAAGGTCTCAAGAACAAACTTTTTTCCATGCCAAACTTAGTTATTTTTTACTGAGTGTTTTTCTGCTAAATTTGGTTACTTTCTATGGCTTTTTATGGTAGTTGTTCCAAATTTGATTAACTTTTTTGTTTTTTAATTTAAAAATAGGGTTTCTTTGCAAAAATGGCAATTTGTGACGTTTTTTAACTACAATGGAAGGATAGTGTAAGGCATGGTAAAATAGAGTAACAGAGGGCAAAGTAACCTAAAGTTAGCAGCGTAAGGGCTACGCTGAGCCTTCTAATCATAAGATAGGGCTCAAGCTTATGATTAGAAGGTTTGTAGGATTAGGACTGTAGGGCTAGAGCTCTGGACCAGGGCTCTGGTCTAGGACTCTGGGCTAGGGCTCTGGGCTAGGGCTCTAGGCTAGGGCTCTGGGCTAGGCCTCTGGGCTAGGGCTCTGGATTAGGGATCTGGGCTAGGGATCTGGGCTAGGGCTCTGGCCTATCGCTCTAGGCGAAGGCTCTGGGCTAGGGCTCTGGGCTAGGGCTCTGGGGCTAAGGCTCTGGGGCTAGCTTTATGCTATGGCTAGGCTGATTTGCAATTGCCAAACTAAAAATTTTGCAACGGTTTAAAGTTTTTATATAAATCTTTTTTTTGAGATTTTTTGTAACTTTTAGTGTATCTTTTACATTAGGGTTTAAAAGAAAAGTGAAGAGTATAAAAAAGGCTTTCGTCGCTTTTCACCGTACAACTTCATGTGAATTGACGTCAAAACTTTTTTAATCGCTTTACAAACAAAAATGTTTGGAATTTTTTTTGTAAATGCCAATTTTCACAACATTTTTTAAGTTAAAATGACGTTTTTAAAAAATATTTTTGCAAATGACATTTTATATGTTAGTATACGGCTTTATATAGAAAATTTGACTACTTTTTGCAAATCTTGACCGAATTAGGGCAGGATTACTTATGGCCACACAGAAACAAAATAAATTCGCTTTTTTCTATGATTAGCTATTTAGATGTGTAAAAGATAAATACTTTTTTAATGGGACTAATGATTACGGTCAAACCACTGTATAACGAATCGCTTAAAAATTTTAAATATTAGGTGACGACATAAAGAACCCGCCATACTTTTCCTGCAATTTCCTGTAAAAATGGCAGGTTCTTTATGTCAGCACCTAATATGGCTGTTATGAAAGAGTTTTACCCCCCTCCTCTTACTCTTGCCTCAAGAGTATAGTACAGAGAATTTATAAATGCAGTGTGTAGTGTTGGCCGGCGATTTTAATGTTTCTTATCATACGGGTTTTCTTTATACAGGGATTCCTTATATGCTTTGTATATCTTGTTTTGAACTATTTATCTTTTAAAAATTCATTTTTAAATTCATATTAAAGCGTAGCCTCATTGGCTCAGGGGCAGAGCGTCTGTCTAGTAAACAGAAGGTCGCTGGTATAGGCTTGCAGCATGAGGTAGTTGTTTTTACTTTTTTTAAAGAGAAAAAGAACTGTCTTATTTGAATTAGACAGAACTAGAAACGAATTTTAGAGTGGGGATAGGAGAGGGTAACTTTTTTTTAAATTTTTAAAAACCGCTAGCGAAAAAGAAAAATTTTATGTTTAAAAAAAAAGCTAAAAAACGATAAAAGTAATTTTATATAACTGACAGTTCCATTTTGAGCGTAATTGTATAATTGATGGTTAATTCTACTTCCTGAATCTTCAGAAAGAGCTAGCTGGGCTATAAAATGTTCATTTGGCACGTTTTTTGTACTATTTTTTGCAGGCTGTCAATTTTTTTGTATTTAAACTTTTTTTTATTTTGTTATTTTATTTTTTAACCTTAATTTTTTTTTAAATTTGAATTTTTTTTGCTTCTGGACTTTCGTTATATTATGTTTTTCCTTTCAATTTCAAAAACACTAGTTCTGAAAATCTAACAATTCCTTAAAAGTATGGCTTTGGTTTTGCGACAAAATGAAGACAAATCTAGCACGTAAGCCATTATCTTATAGTAATAATAATTCTAGGAATATGGGAATACATGTCTCTTCATAGTATTTTACGACAATTCTTTATGACTTGTGTAAAGGCTTTAATATACTTTTTGTTTTGATATTATTGGCGTTTACAATATTTTTTTCAATAAGAACTGGCCTATTCAATCAAATGTTTACAGTATCAACTTTTTTTATTAAAAAATATTTGTAACTGTATAGGGCTAGGCTAGGGCTAAGATTAGTTTAAGGAAAAGTAGGATTGAGTTGGCATGAAAAAGTAGGATAACTTAAGTTAGAAAAGGTATGATTGGGCAATGTAGAGTATAGTTGGTTAGGACTAAGGTTGGGGACCTGGGTTAGGGCTCTGGGCTAGGGATCTGGGCTAGGGCTCTCGTCTAGGACTTTGGTTTTAGGCTCTGGCCTAGGGATGTAAATAGCCTAAGTTTGCAATTACAAACCTAAAATTTTGCAAAACGGCTGTCAGTCAAAACTACAAGTGTGGTCACGTACGTGTATAGTTAATATTGCCGTTCTATTCCTCATCACCCCCCCCTTCTACCCCTTTTT